GAATTATCTTGGGCAAAGACAACATTGTTAATGATGAGCTATTGCTCTAATAATTTCTGCAATGAAAAAAAAAAACCCTCCTAATTCTAATATCTAAAATACATATGAATGAAGCCTACTCATTTGCCTGAACTATAGCCACTATCTTCTTTAAACAATTCTGAGACAAAATTATATAAATAAAAGAATAAACATTGTCATTTTAAATCCTAGGCTGCCTGTCAGTAAAGAACAGACATAACACAATCCCCACTTCACAATTCTGCTATGGTTTAAAGTCTCCTTAAACTTTTACTTTTAAGTACATATTCATAACTCATCCAGCAATCCTATGGTATTTTCATACCTGATTGTGAATACTATAATATTCAGGTTAAAATTACCAGTTGCTTCCAATACGTCAATAGAATATAATAACAAAATTCATAATGAAAACAGTATGAATAATGGAAATAGTAAAGGTGAAGCAGTGGTTAATAAATTCTGCATGGTTCACCATGGGAGGAGCAACCAACCCTTGGTGAAGGATGATATGATATTAACTGAATTCTGGAATTATTATGTAGAAAAGAAAACAACAATATAGTAGCACTTTGAATTTTTTTCTACTTATGCAAAAAATTATGCCAAAAATTCAGGAAATATTATATAGAGATATATATTTTAGTCAGGCAAAAATGATTTAGGAGGACAAATAGAATCCAACCTATGTTGAAGTACAAAGAGATAAATTTTATCTCTCTTTGGGTTCCAAACTTAGGGTGTCAGCTCTAGATATTAATCTGGACATCCCTACATGGCAATGAAGCTAGAGCTGAAATAAAATGAATATTTTACATGAAGAGGGTGCTGGAAGACAAAAAGATGTTAGAATAGCTTGTTTGTTTAGAATTTGCCTGAGAGTACCAGCTATTTCTACTACTTAAAAAAGTCAGTGTATATAATTTTTTAAAGAAAACAATATGAGAAACGTATAATAATAGGACACAATTAATTGTGTCTCAAGGGGCAGCCACATAAAATTTGTGCATTTTAAATAGTTGCTTATTTGGACTGTATTATTTTAACTACAGCTTCAGTCGTGGTAGAAATAGCCTACATGAATATATAACTATTCCCATTTCATACTACAAGCAGACGTCCAAAACTATCAAAATAATTATTCTCCTCAGATGGAATATTGTCAATAGGCTAAAATGTTACACTAAGAATATGAAGTACGTTAGCTGTTCTAATTGAGACATCAGAGAAAAAAATCTTTTGAAAAACAGGCCTAGTGTTATTATCTTCTCCTTGGATCAAGCACTGATTTTTTGAAGTACCAATCAGAGGCTTTTTTCAGACAAAAACCATAGAGATAAACCACGCAATGTATTTGTTCCAGATGTCAACCCTTACAGTTCTTATATCTGTGAAATCATGAAATCTTTATCATAGTTCATCCACTGCCAATTTAAATTCATACATGCTTACTAAATATTACCAAGACAGGACAAAATAAGAAACAAATATTCTGAATGTTCTAGTCTGAGGTAGATATGTATTCTCAAAATAGATTGTCTGACTCGTCAAAAAAAGATTGCTATTATCCATTCTAAGCACACTGCAGTTCTCTTCATGTAGTGACTTGCACTAACATTGGCATGAACAAAAAAAAATGAAGTGAAAGGCAACCTTCATTTTCTGTAATATAAAGAAGCAGTGGATTAACAACTAAGACAGGCATATTGCATGGGGAAGAGGGAAGAACAATAGAAATAAAAAAACAACACAGTACAGTTAGCAGCCTTTAAAAAAAGGTAAAGCAATAAGCAGTGTAGAATAACTAAGTCAGAAATAAAAATTGACTCCTTCTGCCCCCTACAGTTTAGTTGGATATCAGGGTGTTTAAGACACAAGGCCCAGAAATAAAAATGGGAGGTTAATCCTGAACATTAAATGACACAATTTTTCATTTATTCGCTGGCTAAGCCATAGTAATTTGCTTTCCTTTGCCAGCACTGCTTTGACAGTTTTTGTTACTGCATTTTATAAAATCAATACTCCATACAATGGCTGTTCTGTCAAATTTCTAGATTATATCTTCTCTTTGGAATTCTCAGTGCTTGAGTAGAGAGTTATATTCAGCTTCTTTTCTCTTTATATCTATGTACCAATTCAGATAAAAGCAATGGAGGTCTTTCTGACAAAGCATGGCCTGAAAATTCATATCATACCAAGATATCCAAGAACATCCTTCTATAAAGCAATATTAGATAGCAAGCCATCACAGAAGGAAATGCTTATACGTTTTACTTTTTCATCCCCGGTGCCAGAATTATTCATGTCAAACTACCCAATTATTTAAAATGCTACAGGGAAAAACTAGCTGTTTTAACAGTTTACACATAAAGACATTTTACTGAAAGGCTTTGACACTTCAGATTGGAAGCAAGGATTTGCATGTACGGAAACCTCTTATTTATAAAGCACCATAAAGAAATCTGGACAAAGGCCTTTCTCTTACAATATGCATTGCTATCTCCAATAAAAGGTGGGTATTTTCTAAAGAGGAATGGAGGCAATCAAAGTTTTTAAAAATGGAACCCTCATTCTCTCTTCTGCAAATGCAGATTTATCTGCCAATTGCTAATGGAAACTCTAACCTAAGTATGGACCAAGGCTCAAAGTTACAATTAGATAAATTAAGCAACATCTAGAGATACCCCTGCCCCCAAAATATTTGCCCCATTGGCAACCACAACTACCTACAAACCATTTTCCTGATGTTACAAATGACATCTACAGGCAACCAACAATCCCTCTAACCTTCTATTCTGCCCTACATTTCCTTAACTTTGCACATTTATGAACCTTTGAGCCTTACATTAATGCAGCCATGCCACTTCAACTCTGACCTTGGCTTGGTTCCTTAAAAAAAGGTCTTAATGTCAACAACCAGAACTATAAAACACTTTTTCCCCCAGCAGCTGCCTTTTGTATCCTGGATTTATGGAGCTTGCTCCTTTCCCATATCGGTACACTTTTGTTTTCCTGTGTTATGTTCTAGGTGAGACCGACTCTGCAACCCACCCACTGAAGGGAAGAGGAGGGGGACGAGAAGACCCGTGTTACATCGTCCTTCCTTCCTGGTGCATCTTGGACGGTAATCTGTGCGCGGAAAACAGCCCTCTTTCTGCATTTCCCTTCTGGCTTCCTCCACCACCCACGGATTATGTTCCCCCCACCCACGCTGACCGTGGAGGCCCGGCCCTTGCAGAAGCATCCCTGCTCGCCTAAGGCAGCAGTGCCATTTCCACCTATTGTGTGGTGGGCAACCCCGGCCGGCTTCCTCCGGCTGCCGGGAAACAGGCAGGTCCAGCCGCGGCCGCTCCCCATAATGGACCAAGGCGCGGCGCGACCCCCTCCCCGCCGACCGCGCCCCTTCCTCCGCCCGCGCGCTCCTCGCCCACCCCAAGCCCTCCCCTCCCCCCGCAGACACAAGCCACCCACGGGACCCAGGGACGGAATTGGCGAAAGCCCCTTCCCCTTGCGGGGGGGGGGGAGATGAGAGAGGAAAGGCCGGCTCTCTTTGGCCGAGCAGACCCCCCGGCCAACCTGGGCAGCCCGGGCGCGCTCTTTGGCCCCAGAGCCCCGGCTCTGCCCTCCCACTTTCCCTCCTCCTCCTCCTCTTCCAGGCGGGCTCTCCAGCCGCCCGATTCCGGGAAAGTCCGCCTGCCCTCTAAAGCCAGCAGCAGCAGGGGGAGGAGGAAGAGGAGGCTGCCCTTTTCTCCTCCCTCCTTGCCCCGAACCATGAGGACTAGAAACACGCCTGGAGTGCTGCTATTGCTACTGCGATTGCAGGGAAGTGGAGTTGGGGGCTGCGCCCCGAGGAACTGGCCCCTTTGGGGAGGGGGCGAAGAGGCCGATCCCCTCTTCTCCTCCTCTTCCTCTAAACCATGAGGACTAGAAACGCGTCTGCTGATGCTGCGGGGAAGAGGAGGGGGGGCGTCCCGAGGGACCGGTCCCTTAGCGAAGGGGAGGGCGGAAGAGGAAGACGCTCCATGAGGACTACAAACGCGCCTGGGCTGCTGTTCCTGCTGCGGGGAGGGGGGAAGAGGCGGAAAGACCTTCCCTTGAGGAGGGGGGCGAGCAAGAAGAGGAAGCAGCCCCCCTTCTTTTCCTCCCTGCCCCAAGCCGTGAGGACTAGAAGCGCGCCTGCTGCAGGAGAGGAGGAGGAAGGGGCGCCCCGCGGGACCGGCCCCTCGGGGGAGGGAGGAATATGCTCCATGAGGACTAGAAGTGCGCCTGGGCTGCTGCAGGAGAGGAGGGAGGGAGGGGCGGCGGGGGGACCGGCGGGCGGGGCTCACCTTGCGCTTCCTGGCCTCGGCCGAGCCGCTCCACACGAAGCACTGGTAGATCACCCGCAGGTTCTGCTTCCAGTTCTCCACCTTGAAGCCGGTCACATGGCAGCACCCGGCGGCCGGCGGACTCATCTCCGACCCCCCCACATCAATGCCCCGCCCGCCCCGCCGGCCCGGCTGCTGCGGCTGCTACGGCGAGGCGGGGGCGCCCCGCGGGGCGGGGGGGCTCGGGGGGAGGAGAGGAAGAGGCGGCGGCGGATGGGGGGGCTCCTCTCGCCCCCCCGAGGGGCCACTGCGGCCCGATCCCCCTCCTCCTCCTCCTCCTCCTCCTCCCGGGCGCGCTTCCTCAGGGCGGCGCGGCCGACTGCAGTGCCGGGGAGCGGCCGCCCGCCCGCCCGCCGCCCGCTTCCTCCCTCGCCTCGCCGCCGCTTCGCCTCAACCCCGCCCCCGGCTGCTGCTGCTGCGGTCCTGCCGCTGCCGCTGCCGCCGCCGCTCCGAACAAAGCGCCGACGACGGCAGCGGCGGCGGCGGCGCACAAAGCTGAGGGGGGGAAGGCGGCGGGCGAAGCGCCGCTGAGGAAGAGGAGCCTCTCCTGAGAATCGCCGCCGCCGCCGCCGGATCGCGCGCTGCTACCTCATGGAGGCCTCGGGGGAGGCGGCGGCGAGGGAGAGGGGGAAGCCCTGGCAGCCGCGGCGGGCGAGGAGGGGTGTGTGCTGGGGCCGCCGCCGCCTCTGCCTCTCCGCCGCTTCTTGAGCAGCCCGGCTCGCCTGTCTCTTTAAATCGCGCCTCCTCGTCGCCGCGCGTGCCCCCCCCCCGCCGCCCCGAATGAGCCCGTCCTCGGTGGAGAGCGCGCGCGGCAGGCTCCGATCAAGCGCCGCAGCCGCCGCCGCCGCTGCCGGGCCCGAGCGGGACAAACCAATTGGGAAAGAAGCAGGGGGGGGGGAAGTAAGGTAAGGAGGAGGAACGGAGGGAGGGTGGGAGGAAGAAGAAGAAAAAAAAAAAGGAGGGTGGAGAAGCGTCGGCCTTGCCTGAAAGGCTAAGGAAGGCCGCGGATTGGCGGCGCGAGGCGCACGTCCCGTCTCTGGGCCGCTCCTCATTGGCGGGCGCCGCCTTCCCTTACAGCGGGATGGGAAGGGGGACGCGAGGAGAAGCGCCGCCCCTCGGCCGCCTTTGATTGACAAAGGAAGTTCTGGCGACGGAGAGGAGGGAAGGAAGGGAGGGGGGAGAGAGCGGGCGCCCATTGGCGGCGCCGCCCGCCGCTCTCTTGGCCTGAGCGGCGTGCGCGGCGGAGGATTGGCTGGGAGGAGGGTCACGGGGGTAAGCGCCGCCCCCGCGGAGCCCAGGCGAGACGGGAGGGGGCGAGCCAGCCAGTCAGTCAGCCAGCGGGCAGGGCTGCTGTCACATCCGCCGGAGCCTCTGCAGGTTCTCGGTTACACCAGCAAGGAGGGCGGAGCTGCCTGGTGCTGCTGCTCCATGGACTCTGCTCGGACAGCCTTGCCCAGCTCGATCCCGCTGCACGACCGCGGACACGTGCAACTCCTGGGCTGCGTTCACACGACCCTCGGATCAGATCGGATGACAGCCAGCCGGTCCTGAGAACGCAGCCAAGGAGAAGATCCGTGTCGTGCAAATAGACTAACTCAGTAAAAGAAGGGTCAAGGTAATGTGGGAAAGCAGCCTTTATTTTTCAAGGGCAATCTCCTTTCTCTGTCTTGGTTTCCATTTGGAATTAAAAGCACAGCCTCTGAACTTGGAGGGTGCCTGGTCCATTTTTTATGGGGGCTTCAATAGATTAATGCAGTTTCTCTCCCCCTCCCCCCATTGGGATTTCAAGACCTTTTGGGCTTCAGCTCCCCTAGACTTTAATTCCAAAGGAGCGGGTCCAGGGTTCAACAAGAGTCAGCAGGAACCACTTATAGTCAGCCTCATTTAGCAACCACAATTGGACCGACAACTCCGTCATTAAATGAATTGGTCACTTAGTGAAACCAGGATGGTGGTTATGCTCTTACTGCACTTCTGCTTTCCTTTGCTCTACAGACCTTAGACAGGAGCCCTGTCCAAGTACACACCTAGGGGCCTTGCCCCTTTAAGTTGGGTGGACTTTAGCGGGCTGGGGAATTCTGGGAGTTGAAGTCCATGTGTCTTAAAGTGGCTGAAGTTGAGAAATATGCTTCTCTCTGGCTTAGATCCCAGATCTGGCATCCCAGGAAGATGCAGTTTGGCTTATTGCACTAGCATGTGAAGGGCCATTGCATTCAGAGATGGACTGTTTGATGGGCAGGTGTCACGGCCTGCGATACAGGTAGTCCTCGACTTAACGACAGCTCATTTAGGGACTCTTCAAAGTTACAGTGGCACTGAGAAAAGTTACCCCTTTTCACACTTAACCACCATTGCAGCATCCCTGGAGCCACACGGTTTAGATTCGGTTGTTTGGCAACTGACTCACATTTACGACGGTCGCAGTGTCCCAGGATCAGCGCGATCCCCTTTTCTGACCTGACAAGCAAAGCCAGATTCACTTAACAACCGGGTTGCACTGATTCACTTAACAGCTATGGCGAGAAAGGCCGTCAAATGGGGCAAAACTCATGTATTACAAATTTCTCGCTTAGCAACAGTTCAATTCTGCCCGTAAGTCAAGGACTCCGTTACAATCATGGGTGGGCAAAGCAGCCACAGGAGGAGAGCTCTTGAGTTATTCAGGGAAGAATGTGGTTAAACCACCAGCTGGAAACCCAGCCCCCCCCCCCCTTCTTGTGCCCTGCTATCATGTTACACACCTGGGCAGAGTCTATTCCCCTCCAGACCTCCACAGGGAGGCTAACACAACCCACCCCGGTAATATGACAAGCCTTAATTCCCAGCATTTAAATCATTAGCTTCTGGGATTTTCTTGGTCTCCCCAAACAAGGCCATTAAGGGGCCAGTAATGTGTATTTAGATGCCAGCTGCCTGCCAATGAACACAGGGTCGTGTGGCCTTGGGGAAGTGCTGGAATTCGCACACTGTCTCGATTGGACTACGTTTCTGGGACCAATTTTCTCCTGTGTTATGTATAAGTAGTCCTCCACTTGTCACTGTTTGCTTAGTGACCGTCTGAAGTTGCAACGGCACTGAAAAAAGCAACTTAGGACCGTTTTTCACACTTAGGACCGTTGCAGCATCCCCAGGGTCACGTGATTCAAATTCAGACGGTTGGCAACTGGCATGTACTTATGACGGTTGCAGTGTTTTTGGGGTGTGTGTCACGTGATCACCTTTGGTAACCTTCCAACAAGCAAAGTCTGGGGGGGGAAGCCGGATTCACTTAATGACCGCAGGATTCTCTTAACAACTGCAGGGCAACTGTAGCTAAAAAGGTGGCAAAATGGGGCAAAGCTCGTTTAACAACCGCCTTGCTTAGCAACGGAAATTTTGGGCTCATTTGTGGTTGTACGTCCAGGACTATCTGCAGGTTGTTTTCAAAAGTAAAAACTTTTCCTTTGTATCCATTTTCTTTTAAACGATGAGATCAACAATTAATAAGCAGAAGCGGTTTTTGCGGAACGGTTTTCCAACCGTGAGCATCCAGCCTTGTCTCCAAATCTACAGTCCCGTCTTTTTCTCAGCTTGTAACCACCTGGTTTGAGGCACTAAATTAAGCCATTGCTTCATCCTGGTTTATTGAATAAGCCCCAAGTGGCTGGATTTGCAGAGTGTACTAAGCGGCAACTATGATTTTGTAAGCCAAGCAGAGTCGCTCCGACAATGAGATAGGGGAGACATAAATTTAATAAATAAAATGAACTGCGAAGGGTTTTATTTGTACATCAGCAAAAAAGCCATTGTGAGATTTGATTTTATATCAATGGGGAGGCCCAAATATGCAGGTAGACCTTGATGAGATATTATCCTCATTTGGGGAGGGGTGGTGATTTCTTGCTTTCCTTTCCTTCCTTCGGACCAGACAGAAAAAAATATTCTTTTTGACAGTCTCCAGATCACAGAATAGCAGATGGCCGGACTCTTTCAACACTGGTGGAAAAATCAATGTTGAGCAAAGAGGAAGATGGCTTGCAAAGCAGGAAGACGCACTGACCTTGAGAAAGGGGGGGGGGGTTGTGAATTTAAAACAGGCTGCTATTTAAATTCTCCCAACAGCCTTGGGCTAAACCAAGAAGGAAACAATTCACTGTTCTCAAAGACCTGACACCATCAACAGAAACTATTGTGGGAGAACGATGGGTTCTTCTTAAAAAAAAAAAAAAACATCCTTGCAGGTTTTCCATATATGTGTGTGTATGTCTGTGTGTTTGCAGGCATGGGAAACATGGAGAAAATTCAATTCTTCACTGCAGCAATCCACGCTTTGAGAACCAAAGCCTTAAAAAGCAAGCTGAAGATGGGTGGGTGGGTTTGAACAAGTGTGGGTGAGCTGCTAACTCAGCCGGGTAGCCAATGATGCCCACTTTATTCCTCTCCAGCAACAATAAGTATTTTTCCTCCTCCCACTTCCCAAACTGATTGTCACAGAGAGAGAAGCAGATAAGAAAAGGGCACCTAGAAAGCTGTGTGTGTGTTTCTTGTGGTGGATCAATTTTACTTCATTTTTTTTTAGGCACGCCGGGAGGGAAGAAACAGCTGCACCAACTTATGGATCAATAGCAGCATCTGCTGGCAAATGTAGGGACTGAGCCTTGGTTAATAGGCTCTGCAAAGAAGCAACTACAATAAATAAAAAAACCTGAACAAATGAAACAATGAGAGATTTTTTTTCCCCTGGCCCTTAGAAAAGAAACATGAAGATCTTTGACAGCATGAACCGTTCCTAGCTTGGTTTCGGCTCCATATGTGGTGTGAAGCTGCCAGGGCTGATCCAAGCGAGCACCATTGGTGGGCTTTGAAACCAGCCTTTAAGGGACTCAGGGCTGTGTTTAATGGGGGGAGAAGAGAAACTTCTACCAATTTGATTAGTAATTTCTTCTGTTGCACGGAATGATAAGAGAGATTTGATAAGAACCTGTAGTGTCCAAGGTTCTGGACAAGAAATGGGATGGTTCTAATCCGGATTCTAGTCCACTGTCAACCAGGGAAGCCCTCGTTGTATGATGGACCAACCTGCCTTGAGAAATTATTGGGATGTATTGGAATGGAGTGGCTAATATATTCAAATATGTAAATAGGAGGAAGCATGCTATAGGCACTACTTGGACCAGGGGGTGTTTAAAAAAAGATGGCAACCACAATAGCTTGGCTGGCTGGAGAACTCTGGGAGTTGAAATCCAGAAATCATAAAGTTACCAAGATTGAGAAAAACACTAAAACAGTAAATACATTGTTATGTCTGTGAAGATTAATGTATTGATTGCCTCTTGCTCTCTGTTAACTTTGTCTAATGGTCCGTGGCTTTATAATATACTTGAAATTATCTCTGCACTAAGTTGAAATCCAGTCATCTGTTTTACAGAATAGTGCTTAATGCAACTCACAATCCTTCCAGGAGAAAATTCACTTCTGTCCTGCTTCATTTAACAAAGAAGAAATTTACGACTAAAGCCAGACCTACTCGGCTTCTGCCAGCCCAGCTAAATGAGGGATGAATAATGAGAATCTAACCATTTTGGACAGAGCGTAAGTTCCTCAATGCAGAGAGTTTTCTGTTTTACATTATTTGACCAGATTTTTTTTTTCCCCTCTTTGTAATGTAAGCTAAATCATATGTTTGGTCAGAGAGAGGTTGAGGTTCAAACAAGCTTGAATATTGTTTTCACCCAGAGTTGTGGAGATAAACAATACCTAAAACAAGGTGTAAACATTAAAGAATCCTGCAAGTTGAGCTGGTCATATCATGATCTTCATTCACTTGTTCATGGATTTTTAGCATGGTTTTTATTTGTAAATAAATAAAAATGGTTTTGCCAATTATCTAAGAATTTTACTTCAGCTTTGACCTATCTTTTCTGAATTAGAAGGTAAACAGCTACCTAAATTTTGAATTAAGTATCTCAAAAATTATTTTGCTATCTGATTTTATCACAGTCCAAATAAATTGGTGCCCCTTAATCATATTTTGTACAATATAAATGCAACCTAAGGGTAAGAAGTACAAGATAAATTTTAAAAGCTCATAACCTACAAATTTCTTCATGCATTTCTTTCCTTTTTTCTTTTTTACAATGCTTCAAAACAGCCAAATTGCTTGAATGGCTTTAGATTTAACTCAAAATATTGGACAATTAAAGCTGAACTCAATTCTTTGAACTTGATTCTTAAAAAGAGGTGCAGAGGGTTTGCCGCTAGCTATATTCTGAGTTACTGTGTTTTGTCTAGCTGTGTTCTCATTTCAAACGGTGAACACAACTGAAATTAATGCTTCCCTCCTGGGCTAGTGCTAAAAGAGCAGCAAGAAGGAGCATCCTGCTGGGGGAAAACAGCCCTTAGGGGGCATTGCAGATTTTCACTTACAGCCAGGTGGCAATGGTGTGTAGGAACAGAAGCTTGTTGTTGTGAAGCAAAGCATCACAGCAGATGCTCCGTTGGTAGAAATGTGAGAACGGGAGAGTAAATAGCCCAGGATTTTTCAAACTTGGCAATTTTAAGATGAATGGACTTTAGTTCCTAGAATTCAATTCCTGGCAAGGGCTTTTCCAGTCAATTACACAACTCTGACTTATTAAAGAACCCATTTTAATCAATATCACGATACATGCTTAGTTTCAAAATATGATTTAAAAAAGATAGTTAATTTGCCTTACTTTTACAAATACTATGTGAATTCCTAGTGGCATTTCTCAGGTTGAATTGAGAAAAACATTTGTTTTTTTTTCTTTTTTGTTGTGTTGTTATAAATCTTAGTAACTGTTGTTTCTGTATGTTGATGTTTGTGTAACATGTTTATAAATTACTGTATTAACATTATTTAAATAACTTAGAACACTGAGAACAGAAAAGAAAAAAAATCCATCAATGTCACTATTTAGGATAGCATACACACACACACACACACACGGAAAAAAAGCAAATTTAGATAAAGCAAATTTAATAAGAATTCCTTATTGTATTTGGAAGTTATATATGCTAAAAACATTCCCTGAAAATCACAATAGGAAAAACAACTATTAATATTATAGACCTAAAGAATTACCTCAATTCCTGGTACTATATATATCCATGCAGTTTTCCTGCAATATATAGAAACAGTTCCATTGTTTTCCTTCAGAGCAATTTTCTGCTTCTGAATATATCCAGCTGATATAGGAACTATGTTCAGGGCTAAACACTCATTTTAACAAAAGCCTCTTCAACAAAATATTGTGGAAGAAAATGCTTTTTCCTTGAAAATAAGGACTAAAAGATTTAGGCGAAAACCCTACAAGAGCATTATTTTCGGTGAATGAAAAAAAATCCCTCTTAAATCCTGAACTGGCCCCTCCCTATTCAGAAATCATGAAACCTCCGCTCCGCCTTTTTCAGTGCTTCTCTCCCTTGCTGACATAAAAAAAGCAAGTCGTATTTTATTTTGTTTTTCCTTTCCTTAGGAAAGGACCGGAACTCTAAGCCAGGAGGAACGCTATTCTTACGGTCAAGATTGCCGGAGGGAACTTAAAGGCAATCGGACCACCTATCGCATCAATTGGCGAGAGCGAGGGCGTTAGACCTCGCGCCGTCGCTGATTGGCTGCTGGCCTGATAGTTCCGCCTGGCGTCTGGTTTGAAACGGTGCATCTTGATTGGACACAGCGGAGAGAGGGCGCGGGGAGAAGGCGTCATCCACTTCCGGGTATGTGATTACGGTGATGGGAATTGCAAGGTAGTTTGTATAAAACCGGGAAGCGGGAATATGCCTCTTTTTGTGTATGTGGTGTGGCGTGTATGTCCCTGTGTCATATTTTCTTGCTAAATATGTTATGTAAATTAGAAAGAGGGGAGATGGGAGAAACTAGAGTTTCTTTCCCCACTCTTGCTTGTTTGGACATTGGATTGCAGTACCCATTATCCACAGCAAGTGCAATAGCTGGATTGGAGGGGGGGTTCTGTGAGGGAGTCATAGCTTCTTGCTAAATATGGAAAGCCTGGCTACATAAATCCAGAAAGAGTGTAAATGGAAGGGGGGAGGGTGTAGAGTTGCTTTCCCAACTCTTCCATGTTGGGTATTGGATTGCAGTGCCCATTACCCACAGCGAGCATGATGGGCGTTCCATCCTTAAACAACTAGAGGGTACTGGTTGCAGAAGTGGTAGATGGAAAAGATGGGGTGGAGTATGACAGGTTGAGGCCATGACTGCATCGTTGGGGATGGGAAGTGTAGTCCAATGGAAGGCAAGGGATGGGAGCCATGTTAGGGAGGGTAATGGAATTCCTGCAGACATAGATGGGGAAGGGGTTTAGAGCAATGTTTCTCAATCTCAGCAACTTTAATTCAATTAATTCATTTCAATTCCCAGAATTCCCCAGCCAGCAATTGTAGTCCACACTTTCTTAAAGCTGCTAGACTGGAGGGTGAGACTGGGAGTTGATCTTGAGACAGTTGACATCTGTCAGTCTAACTTACTTTACTGTAACATGGTTGGGATATTTATTTATTTGTCTAATTTATTAATTAACAGCTTCAGTTATTGTAACTCTCTGACTAAAGTTACCATGGACAATGAAATAGCTGCATTTTGGCTTTGAGCGTTTGTCCACAAAGGTCTTGGAATTAATTTAGGACAGTGTTTCTTAACTTTCGCAGCTTGAAGAGGTGTGGACTTCAACTCCCAGAATTCCCATAGCTGGCTGGGGAATTCTGGGAGTTGAAGTCCACAGAACTTCGAGCTGCTATGGTGAGAAAAGCCAGTTTAGGGAATTCAGACCATTTGGCACCTTGTGTCATCCTTAATTATGTTTCCCTCAAAGACAAACTGGAATCTCAGCATTTTCGTAATATTAGCACAGCAGGCTTGCAGTTAGATTCTGAATTTTTCTTTGAATTAAGATCCAAAGGATTCAACTTCTCAGAGAGTGTGATTGTGGTATTTTAATCAGAGACCATGTCGAAAAAGAACAAGCTAGTTGAGGGATTCTCTCAAGTTTTAATCGCTGCTGGGTTTGGGATGCTTAACAAGTAGACTCTTGTTCTGTCTTGATCTGTTGAAACTCTTGAGCAATTTAATTGTTCCATCACTTCAAGCAACTTCAAAAATATTGCAGTAATACCGGCATTTGAATGGACGTATGAAAAATGGGCAAATGCAATTATGCATATATGCCTTACGTGCAAAGTGAAAAATGGAAGACAGGGTAACCTCACCTGCCTCGATATACAAATCTTGGTGCTAGCATTGCATTAGACGTTCAGAAGTAGCTTGCTGTGATTTCTCCAGGCTAAACATGTCTAATTACTCAGACCTTGATTCAGTTTCAACATTGCACTAAACCCTCATTTTTATAGTTTGGTTTTTAAATCGATGCATTGTGTGAACCAAGCCATTGTAGTTTGTAAGCTCGGATGAATGGCTTAGCGTGTTGAGGAACCCAGCCAGTGGCGGTTTATTTAACCCGATTTACAAAACTGCCTTAAGATGAGAGGTGAAGCAAGCTCAGGGATCAATAGATCTCTTCCCAAAATTAAAGAGCCATCACAAGGAAGAGATTTTAAAGAAATGTGTTCTCTGCTTTCCCCAGAGACCTCAGGTAGTTCTCAACTTACAACAGTTCATTTAGTGACCGTTTGAAGTTACAACGACACTGAAAAAAGTGACTTATGACCATTTTTCACACTTAATGATCATTGCAGCACCCCCCTATAGTCACGTGATCATGAAATTCAGAGGCTTGGCAACTGATCTCTTCCCAAAATTAAAGAGCCATCACAAGGAAGAGATTTTAAAGAAATGTGTTCTCTGCTTTCCCCAGAGACCTCAGGTAGTTCTCAACTTACAACAGTTCATTTAGTGACCGTTTGAAGTTACAACGACACTGAAAAAAGTGACTTATGACCATTTTTCACACTTAATGATCATTGCAGCACCCCCCTATAGTCACGTGATCAAAATTCAGAGGCTTGGCAACTGACTCGTATTTATGACGGTTGCAGTGTCCTGGGGTCATGTGATATCCCTTTTTATGACCTTCTGACAAGCAAAGTCAATGGGGAAGCCAGATGCACTTCACAACTGTGTTACTAACTTAATAGCTACAATTATTCACTTAACAACAAGGGCAGGAAAGGTGGTAAAATGGGGCAAAACTCAAGTTATCAACTGCCTCGCTTAGCAACAGAAGTTTTGGGCTCAGTTGTGTGGTAAGCTGAGGACTATCTGTAGTATTAAGGTTTAGAAGGCTGAAATCACCAGAGGGGAGATATTAGTCCAGCATTAGGATACATATCTTGATGGTGAATGTGCTTAAAGACAAGAATTGGCCGTTTCCCCTGCTTGATTAATGCCAGTTGGGATCTGTCTTTCATCCGACACAAGATGGAGTAGATTGTCCAACTCCCCAATTCTGAATTTATAACCTTCCCATGTTGTTTGCAAAAACTCTTGCAAACAGAAGAGGAGAAGGAGGGGGCGGTATTTGAAAACAGAACCGGTAGGGCAAGACCTGGCGAGAAAAGAATTAAATTTAGCTTGCAAAAAAAAGGACCAGAAATTTTTTTTTCCATGCAGGTGAAGCAATTCTGAATCATTAAACGCTGGCGAGTACAGTCCGGTGCTATTAAAATTAAGAATAGTTAGCAGACAGACAGCTTCCAGTGCAATAAATGAATGGGGGGGGGGAGAAAGAAAGCTACTCTTGATATACATTCCCCCCCCCTTTGGCGCCTTTGAGTCAGTGTTGACTCCTGGCAACTGCCTGGAAAAATCCCTGCCGCTTTCTTGGCAAGATTTCTGAAGCAGCTGCGTACTTCATAGGGCTGAGAAAGAAGGATTGGGGCAAGGCAACATCACCCAGCTGGTTTTCTGCCCGAGGCAGGACTAGAACTCAGGTTTCTCGCTTTCTAGTGGTGCCTTCACCCCTAGACCAACCTGGTGCTCTGAATCTGATGTACCCTCCCGGTTTCTTAATTCCAAAGTCTTCTAAATGGCTTAGAATAGGGGTCTTCAAACGTGGCCCTTTTATGACTTGTGGACTTCAACTCCCAGAATTCCTCAGCCAGGCACACAAAATTATTGACAAATGTAAGAATGTTATTTTTATTTAATTGACTTAATAAGAATTGTATTAGTTTAGACAGGAGACAGTGAATACTGAGGGGAAAAGAGAGGAAAAATTTGATGTAGTAGCTTGAGACTTGCACTGAAGATATTTGTATGTTACTGTATTGTCGATTGGCCCAGCTGCCACGTTGCTTGTTGAATACTTAAATGTAAAACTAGAAAATCGATAAAACATTTATATAAAAAAAAGCCCGTAAAATGAGGCAAAACTCACTTATTAACTGTCTGGCTTAGCAGTGGAAATTTTGGTCGTAAATTGAGGATTATCTATAGACAATAATTTAAAAAAAAAGTTATTACCAAGAGCTTTTGGAATTTCCACTGCTATTCTCAAGTTCCTGACAATGATGTTGCCTGAATAATTTTCCGGGTAGAAACTGACTGTTAGAACTTTCTCTCAAGTGAGAAGATCAGAAATGGTTTACTTCACACCAGGCCTAGTTGGAGCAAATCTTCCAGAACTAGGCCATCCAAAATACAGTAAGGCATGTTCTCTGACTGTGGATCCAGTGGCTTGTCTCAGGGGGACCCAACGGATCACCAGGTGGTTTGTCTTTTCCTGGAGTCTTGAGTTGCTCGGTGTGTGTGTGTTTTTGCCTCCTATTTAATTCAGAGCTGGCCTGATAAAAGTGATAATCTAATTGTAGAATTGTCTCCCTGGCACTTAAACCTTTCAGCATGAATTTGAGGCATCCTTGACCGCCCATGTTTGGTTCGAAAAATGCTGCTGTGCTGTGGTCTAGATTTTTAAGATCTTTTTTGTTGTTGTTGAGTTTTTCCTGTAGTATTATTTTCCCAACACTCTTACAGACTGCTTTTTTTTAATGGCTGGCATGCCACTTTGGAGGTTGGCGTATTAAAAAAAAAAGAAACTAAGTGATTTTATAAACGAAATTAAAAGTAATGCATGGGTGTTACAAAGCTAACCTCAATGACCGTTAGGTTTGACATCTGAGTTTGACACTAATCGTTTTAACATGCTGGCCGCGGAATTCTGGGAGTTGAAGTCCACCCATCTGAAAGTTGACAAAGTAGGAAATCACTGACTTGAAAAGGGTTGGTGATCAATCTATTCATGTGCCTTTTTTCCCCCCATTCCTTTCTGCCACTCCAGGAGAAATCAAAAGCTCATGGATTTCACTGCTGGGATCCTTCTTCCGCTGCTTTTGGGTGGCGCAGGGATCTTCACTCTCTTCCGATGGATCAAGAGAATCCAGGCCAGGGCGTATCTGAAGGACGCGGTGGTGGTCATCACAGGGGCAACTTCTGGATTGGGGAAAGGTAACGGTTTTCTTCTGAAATTTGATCTGGCAAAGAAGAGTGACAGGTCTCCTGCTTCTCCATAGGGAGTTTTGCACTGCAGACTAAAGCAGCGTGTGAGTGGCTTGTTTCTAACTTAGCAAGTCGAGTTCAACCCAGCCATTGGTGCCTTAGCTAACAAACCACGAGGGAGCAAACTATGGCTTAGGACAGGATGGAATCTAGGCTGTGCGTTGCACGGAGAGACAGGAGTCTAAGATAACTTGGAAAGAGCTGGCTTCAGATGGCCAGGGGAAAAAGAAAATGTTTTACATTCTTTATCTGTGTAGAGGGAAACTGGTTTTTTTTTTTTTCCTAGCAATCGGGTTAAAAATAAACAAAACCTTTGCAACACTTCGCTGTCATCCTTTTTAAAAAATACCCAGATTTTTTTTTCCTCTGGGAGACAGATGCTAAAATGAGGTCATTGTTTCTCAGGGATATTTACCCTCCGGCACACCTACTTATAAGCATGTCAACATATACTTTTGCCTTCATAAAATACCTTTTTTTTGGGGGAGGGTGTCAAGAAAGACGTGTTGTCGCTTCAGTTAGCATGACTTGAACAACGGAATTAATTAAAAACATGGTTGGGGGGCAGGCTGGCTCCTGTTGGATCCATCCAGAATGGCCAAATAGCAAAAGCTTGTAAAAGTGGATCAGGTAGTCCTCGACTTATGATCACAATTGAGGCCAAAATTTCTGTTGCAAACAGGTCACAAGTCACTTTTTCCCCCGGTGCCATTCTAACTTTCAAGGGTTCTTAAATGAACTATTGTAAGTCAAGGGCTACCTGTAGCCCACCACTACCACTACCTGTAGGAATCAGGTGGATGGGCAGCCTGATTTTACAAATCAAAGATGTCTGAGGTGAATTTGCTAGGATTAACATTCTCTCTCTCTCTCTCCCTCCCTCTTTTTCTCTTTTTCTTTCTCTTTCTCTCTCTTCCTGCTTTCTTCCTGGCAAGAATGCGCCAAAGCTTTCCACGCTGCGGGATCCAAATTGGTGCTGTGTGGTCGAAGTAGAGAGAAGCTTCAGGAAGTTCTTCAGGAGCTATCCGTCGCTGCTGACCCCCTCAAAAATGTAAGTGCCGGGCGAGAAGGCAAGCTGGGAAATGAATTGTGTTCCTTGCACCCGCTTGACGTCGAGAATATGATGCCTTTTTGGGACTCGTGTCGGTGTAAAAGAAGAGCAGTGGCGTCTAGGGGGCGTCTCAGTCATCCTGGTTATCCTAAAAGTGGTTTTTAAAAAGGCAGCTGGACTTTTCTGCTTTTCCTTGAAGACGTTTCGCTTCTCATCCAAGGAGCTTCTTTAGAACCTCTTCTTCGAGGAAAAACAAAGTCCAGTTTGGATTTTGGTGTTAAATTAAATTTGAGCTTCTCTCCTGGTTCCTGGTAAGACCTTTGGAGAGGTCTTTGCAAAATAGAAAGATGATGCAATAGAGGTGTACAGGCAGCGCTTGACTTACAAGAGTTTGTTTAGTGACTGTTCAAAGTTACGGCACTGTAAAAAGGAACTTACGATCATTTTTCACACATATGACAGTTACAGCATCCCCAGGGTCACCTGATCAAAATTTAGACGCTTGGCCACTGACTCGTCTTTATGATGGTTGCAGTGTCCCCTGGGGTCTCGTGATCCCCTTTTTAAGACCTTATGACTATCAATGTCAGTCAGAGAAGCTTAACGACTGTGGCAAGGAAAGCCGTAAAATGGGGCAAAACTCTCTTAACAAACGTCTCATTTAGCCATATAAATTTTTATGCTCCATTCTGGTCATAAGCCTGAACACCTCCCTGAACAATATGCTGCAAACTCTATAGCTGAAAAGATTTGGGTGCCAAAATTGTGGGTTTTGATATTATTTCTCTCCCCCCCCCCCTTGCCCCATTTTCACAGGCCCGTAGACATCACACTGTAGTTTTTGATCTCTCGGATATCAAAGCTGTAGTGAACGCTGCGAAGGAGATTTTGAACTGTGTGGATCACGTTGATATTTTAATTAACAACGCTGGGATCAGCTACCGGGGCACCATCGCAGACACCGCGATAGAGGTGGACCGGAAGGTGATGGAAACCAATTATTTTGGTCCAGTTGCTTTAACAAAAGGTAAGCTCAAGACGTTGATTTCCATTTCCAGGTGAGAAAAGACATACACACAACCCCCCAAAAATCCGAGCAATACAGCAAAATTATGAAATAAATAAACAACGGGAGGAATAGAATAGAGACAAACTCCAGGTAGTCATTGATTTATAACAGCGGTTCTCAACGTTTGTATGACGGCGACCCCCGTCACACAAACGTGCGCATGCGCGGCGCGGCCGCGCATGGGGGCGGGGCCCCCACGTGCGGCACGCATGCGCGGCGCCACCCCTGCGCGCGTGGCGCGCATGGGGGGCGGGGCCCCTGCACGCGGCGCACATGCGCGGCGCCACCCCCGGAGGCGCGGCGGCGCCCCCATGCGTGGTGCGCATGCGCGGTGGCGCCCCCGGAGGCGCGCCGCCGCCCCCACGCGCGGCGCGCGTGCGCGGCACCACCCCCCCGGAGGCGCGGCGCGCCCCCGGAGGGGACAAAATGGCGGATCGCCGCGTTTGGCGACCCCACAAGAGGTCGATCGACCCCAAATGGGGTCGCGACCCATAGGTTGAGAACCGCTGATTTATAAGCATTGTTTCAGATACTTGGCTATTGGAACGTACCGGTATTTTCCCCAAAATAAGACCAGGTCTTATATTAATTTTTGCTCCAAAAGACATCTTAGGGCGTATTTTCGGAGAAATACGGTACTAATTACGTCCGTCGGGCTGACGATCTTACCTGGTGCTTATTTTGGGATGGGGCTTATATTAGGAGCATCCTGAAAAATAATGCTGGGGCTTATTTTTCTGGTTAGGTCTTATTTTCGGGGAAGCAGGATAGTTGTGACAGTTGCAGCCCTCATATTTGTATTTATGTATTTATGACGGTCAATCACATGATCGCCGTTCAGGACATTCCCAGCCGACTTTCAACCAGCAATGTCAAGGAGGGAAGCTGGTCTTGCTTAACGACAGCGTGATTCACTTAATAACTGTGCAAAAAATGCTGTTCCCAATTGTGCTTGTTAAATCGAGGATTACCTGTATTATTAAGCTAGGGTTTGATGGCAAGGGTCTTTCATTTTTCTCCCCTCTTGCATCCCAGCCCTTCTGCCTGCCATGATGGAGAGGAGGAAAGGGCACATCGTAGCCATCAGCAGCGTGCAAGGCAAAATCAGCGTTCCTTTCCGCTCGGCGTGTAAGTACGGCTTTCCTTTGCGGCTCCTGTTGTGGTTTGTGGTGTTTTGAAGGCCTGTTTTAACCTGGGCGGTTTCGTGTTTTCAATTCGCTGATTTCATTCTTAGCTGTGTATCAAATTGGAAATACAGAGGCAACGGGTGGCTTAGGAAAAACTCTCTGTTGGATGCTGTTACTTTCCTCTCATTGATATCAGCGGAAACAGCAACCTCGAAGAAAAGGCACAATCCACACAACACACTTCTATTCTGTTCTGTTCTATTCTATTCTATTCTATTATTCTATTCTATTCTTCTAGTGTACACAATGCACACAATTGATCAGAATTAAATCCAGCCTATTGGTTTGGCCCTTCACAACAGTCTCAGTGTCTCATGTAGCCCCTCCCCCCCTTGGGAAAAATTAACCGCCCATCCCTGCTTTAGACTCTGGCTGGGCACTAGTAAGTTGGTGATCAATCTCCTTCTCCAGATGCAGCCTCCAAGCACGCAACTCAAGCCTTTTTTGACTGCTTGCGAGCCGAAGTGGCGCGATTCAACATTGAAGTGACCGTTGTGTGTCCCGGCTACATCCAGACGAACCTTTCGCTCAATGCCGTCACGTCAGACGGATCCCAGTACGGAGGTGAGGACCGGTTCTCCTCTCAAGCCGACGCTATCTGCTAATCAGGTGTTTGTGTATTCCAGGGGTCTTCCAACTTGGACCTTTGATGACTTGTGGACTTCAGCTCCCAGAATTCCTCAGCCAGGCATGCTGGCTGAGGAACTCTGGGAGTTGAAGTCCACAAGTCATCAAAGGGCCAAGTTGGAAGACCCCTGGTGTGTTCATTTGTCGAGGCCCTCAGGCTTCACAATGCAGTTGTACAAACCCACCGAACCAAACAAATGTATGGTACTATGATGCTGAATTGGCTACAGTAGGGGAGTCTGTCCCCAGCTGTTGGGGACTGCTGGGCGCATCTGGAATTTTGCAACGATGTTATGGGCACTCCTGAAAATAGCTGCTGTGGCAGATAGGGCCATTTGTGAAAGCGTATTTAGCAGCCACCCCCCCAGCCCCCAAAGGAGCCATTGAGCTACCCACGTCTAAATCTAAGACTGCATCTGGGGTCTTTCTAAGCCTTGGGCACTGCTGGCAATGCAGATCAGTTTTGAGGCTGCTGTCCTTTTGCTTTGCAGAACAGCTGCTTCCTTTATCATTAAGGGAATAAAAATGTCACTGGGCAGGGAATTTGAAGGTCTAAAGCAGGGGTCTTCAAACTTGGCTCTTTTATGACTTGTGGACTTCAACTCCCAGAATTCCTCAGCCAGGCACGCTGGCTGAGGAATTCTGGGAGTTGAAGTCCACAAGCAGGGGTGTTCAAACTTGGCCCTTTTATGACTTGTGGACTTCAACTCCCAGAAGTCCACAAGTCATAAACGAGGCCAAGTTTGAACACCCCTGGTCTAAAGACTTGGCCTTATCCATGAACCTAGCCTCCCAGCTCCTAACAATGCTGGCTTGCTTTCTGTACAATGCAGTGATGGACAAGACCACCAGTGAAGGCAAGGCGGCGGCTGACGTGGCTCGGCTGGTCCTGGACGCCGTGGGGGAGAGGCAGAAGGAAGTCCTGCTGGTGCCCGGTTTCCTGCCCGCCCTGGCGGTCTATCTCCGGCCACTCTGCCCTGCCCTCTTCTTCACCCTCATGGCCAGGAGAGCTGGCAAGGACAAGAAGGAGAAGGAATCCTAGCCCTGCCTGGATGCTGCCCTGTCAGAGGGGGACTGAAGCTGGACCGGTGGGAAAACGGTGGGAGTGTTTTAATTTCATCCTTCGTTGCACTAAAAGTCGGGTTTTGTCTGGGGGCAACAAACATCAAACGCAAAGTCTTCGGGCAATGCAAAGCATGTGTTTTATCTCTCTCTGTGTGTCTGTATATATATGTATACACACACACACACACACACACACACACACACACATATGACCTGAATTTGCTAGGATTAACATTATATATGTATGTATACACACATATGTACACATATATACATACACACAAATATATCACGTGAATTTGCTAGGATTAACATCTCTATCTATATCTATATTCAAACACATCTCAAATATACAATTATATAGTATATATTTATATTACATATTTTTATATAATTATATATTATATAATGCAAGAGATTAATCCTAGCAAATTCATGTCAGATGCTGGGAATGGAAGCCCTGTAGCCGACATGCTTCCCCCTCAGCGTGCCATTAATAGCTCAGTATGTTGAGTTCTTTTTCTCACCTGCATCTCAAGCTGTATTTCACGCTTAAACGGGACAGGGGAAAAACATGAGTTGACCCTCGTAGGTATTAAAATATTCCAAGTTAAAGTAAACGGCATGGATTTTTTTTTACATTTTCTACTCTTTAAGCTTAGCAGTTTTCGACAGCCAAGCCTCCCAATCAAGCTTGCCATTCCAAAAATGCAAATTATTTCAATGTTAAATCCTTCCATCGCCCATCTGCTGCTTTTCTCTGCTCCTCAGCATGATGACCCTGGCCCTTCTTTAACATTTGCTTGCACATTCTGGGGAAAATAGGTTTAGGGCTATCAGTAGCAGAACCATTCAGTGTGTTTACTTTGGGAATATCCGTGACTGTGCCAAAGAGAAGCTAGAATTATTTAACCACCGTTTTTCTGTCTTTTCGTTTTGAAGAAAACTGCTGCGCTAAAGGCTTGAAGAAAATATATAACCCCTAACTGCTGTTGCATGGAAAGAGGCTATAGCAAAGAGCTGGGCTTCCTCAAGGGAGCAGCTGCTGTATCCAGAAAGCCACAGGATCTCGACTTTTTGCCCAAATTGCCCTACGGAAGAGAAACTTGAAGGGGTTCAATTCCTAGTTCTATATTCCAACAATCTATCTTTTAAAATGGGGCCCACCCAGCCGGAGAGTTTTCCACCCGATCTTTTAGCACCGAAAGAAAAGGGACCCCTTTGAAATTGTCATCCTTTAATGAAAGGTCAGTGATATCTTTGAGCTGGTTCTGTAGAATACAATGAAACAAGATACTTAAGGGTTTTCCCAAGGGGGGGTGCGGGGTGGAAGAACCCAAATCTACCCAACCCCCTGTATTGTTTTGCTTTCAACGAGACCCCACGACCGTCTTCCTTGCTCATCCTGTTCCGGATCTAGGTCTGGGGCATACAAAAATAACAGACATCCCTTGATGCATCTGTGACGTGTGATTGTTTCTTCCCCCCCCCCCCAAAAGAAAATAATAACCAAAGCAACAATAATAATAATCGGGTAAACCAAAACGGTTTCCAGGCACCACTTCAAGAGGAAAAAAGTCGAATGTTCCTGTAGGAGTCCTTAATACACCTTATTGGTTCGGACGGGTTTCCCCCTTTCTTAGCCGCGATCATACGGCGTAGAGTTCGTACACCTTCTTTACACAGTACACCAGGGCCGCCAGGGCTATCGTGTTGTGCAGTCTCTTCCTGTGCAGATCGTCCTTCCTCACTAGCACAACGGGGGTGGAGGTGGTCAGCGTGTGCAACGGCAGGCGGGAGAGTTTGTAGGCGTTGTACTCCACCTGATACTTGCAGCAGGGGTCAAACTGCCAAGAGATCCCATAGAGGGTGCAGCAGGCCACGCTGAGCACGCCGGCCGGCAGAGAGATGTAGTGGGAATAATCCACGGGGAGAGCCAGAGGGGTGAAGAGGCAGGCCGTGCCAGCCAGCACCGCCGTCTTGTGCAGGCAGTTCCCCACCGTGATCCAGCGGGCCGTCTCGTCCCCGATGCGGGTGGGCTCAATCACAATGTACTTGTACTGGGCTTCCAAAGCTTGCTCCAGCTCGTATTCAAACTGGTCCTGGGCATTCTCCCCGTTGTAGATTTCGTGAACAATATAACAGTCCGTGGCAGATAAGGAGACCCTGTTGGAAGAAAAGGCAGAGTTACTCAAGAGGGCTGCGGGGACAGGTCTCCCCCTCTGCTCTTCTCTTCAATTGGCCCCTTGGGAGCCCATCGCTGGCACCATAAATATAGCCGTAGTGCTTAAGACTTATATACCGCTTCGCAGTGCTTTACAGCCCTCTCTAAGCGGTTACAGAATCGGCTTGTTGCCCCCGACAATCTGGGTCCTCATTTTACCATCCATGGAAGGCTGAGTCAACCTTGAGCCGGTCAGGATCGAACTCCTGGCAGTGGGCAGAGTTAAGACTGCAATACCATATTCTAATGACTGCTCAAATGGGCCAACTTTAATTCCCAGAGTGGCCCAGCCAGCTCTGGCTGAGAATTTTGGAAGCAAATTGCACATGTTGTGACTGGAGAGATGGTCTCAGGTCTGGGGTCTCTCTGCCCCCCCCATGACAACCCCCCAGTATCATTCATGGGTATCCCAAGCCGTGCGCTCGGAAGAATTTTGGACAAAATGCCAAACGGTCAACCAAGCAGGTTGTGACGTACACATTTTGGCAGTAAAGTGCAAACCATGACAAGTGTTACAGCCTTTGGAGCTTTGTTGTGGATGTTCTAATGTTTTAATTTATGAGCTGTGTAGTCACCCATTCATTGCTGGGAGGAATCGAAAGGAATTAATTGGAGAATCTTAACAGGTTGAAAGATTGGCTGGTTTGTCTGGTTGGGAAGCCCCACTGCCTCAACTTGACTTATTGGGCCACTGGAAAATCCCTTCAAAGCCCTGAGAAGCAAAGTTGTCTTGCTGAACCTGTGAAGTGGTGGACTTTGTGGGTCTCCAGGATGTTTTTCAAGAGGCCTCAGGGCTTTGATAAGGCCAGACCAGTTCCCGGCTCTTCTGTTGAACATGTCAGCAAAAAATAAGTGGGCTTATCAACTTAGCACATTTGCAAGCCGTGTCAGGAGGAAAAAAAAAAAAAAAAAGCTTTTCACAAAATCTAAGCTGTACCAAACAGACAGAGAAGGGTCTGTTTTGTTCAGGCCAGGATGTGACCCGGCTTCAGAGCAGCTCTTTATTCAACACATTCATTCTCTGGGGCTTCACATCCCTAACAAAAGCAGGATTAGGGTCCCGTGGCATTTGTTTAGTGTCTGTCGCGAATGCTGGCGTCAGTAAGGCAGAGACGAACGGGGTGAATTTGACTGGTTTGGCCAAATCTTTTCCCTATCCCAATCCAAAACCTAGTAGAGAAGACTCTATAGAGCTGTGTTCCTCTCCCGTGGACTTCAATTCCCAGATGGGTGGACTTCAATTCCCAGAATTCCCCAGCCAGCTGTACTAGATGGGGAATTCTGGGAGTTGAAGTCCGCAATGCTGTTCTAGCTTCTATTTATACCGGTGGGAAGAGAAACACGAGCAGGGAGGAAACTAATGGATGGACATTACGGGTTTCCAGTGAGGTCAGGTGGGGAACAGCAGGCTGCCCTATTTGAAGTTTGATCCCACCTGGCTGTTCCTACGGCTTGAGGAGCAACTTTAATCATATTATATTTGTTGGGGTGTCCCAACATTGTCAGAGAATCCTGTGAAGTGGCACAACGCATGTAAGCTCTCTGGTCGACCTTGTAGCGCGTCACTTGAATCTCGTGAGACATCGCAACTGTCCACAAAGGAAGAATTCATCTTTTTCCAGGAGCTATTACTGGAAATTTCGATCTCGGCTGGCTGTCCAAACAGACCATTTATTTTTATAAACAGCGAACTAACCTTAGAAGCGTATTTAAGATTGATCCAGGAAATGCTACAGTTAAAGTAGTATACCCAATTCGTCAGTAGCATTTCACCTTTTCTGTACTGTTTTTGAGTCTAGCCCTAACCCTGACCATCTCACCTAGGAACACAAGTATTCCTCAACTTACGACTGCTTGTTTAATGACCGAAGTTACAAGGGCACTGAAAAAAAAGGGATCTTGTGAACGTTTTTCGCACGACGGTCGCAGCATATCCGTGATCACGTGAACAGCATTCACCCGCTTGGCAACTGACATGTACTTATGACGGTCGCAGTGTCCCAGGGTCACGTGATCCTTCTTTACGACCTTTTCTGACAAGCAGAGTCAAGGGGGGAAACCAGATTCCTTGAAGAACTGTGTTAACAACTTCAGTGGTTCACTTAACAAATATGGCAAGGAAAATTGCAAAACGGGGCAAAACTGTCTCACTCAGTTATGGAAATTTTGTGGCTCCATTGTGGCCGTAAATCGGGATCTACCTGTATTTCCCAGGTCAGCCAGAACATGCTTCCCTTCCAAGGAACATTCTGTTCTTTAAGCAGAAGATCACTATGCAGAAATGCAACCAGGAGCTTGCATGAAAGAAGAGGAAATGCTTTGCATTTTCTACTCTAATAAAAAAATTTTTTTTTATTATATTCCTGTTCAATTCTATCCCATTAGACTAAGCAAAGTTTTCAAAATAAAAGAGAGAGACTTTTATCAAGGAAAGAAGCAACCTGGAACTAAGGAGAAACTTCCTGACAGTGAGAACAATTAACCAGGGGAACAACCTGCCTCCAGAAGCGGTAAATGCTCCAACACTGGAAGGTTTTGAAGAAGAGACTGGACAGCCGTTTGTCTGAAATGGTATAGGGTTTCCTGCCTGAGCAGGGGGTTGAACTAGAGGACCTCCAGGGTCCCTTCCAACATCATCATCATCATCATCATTATTATAGACTGAACCTTTTTTAAGTCACACAAACTACCCTTTAGAACAAAAACACCAGCATGCCACAAAGGTGCCTGGTAACACAGAGGAGATTTATACATATTGAAAAAACAAACAAACTATATCTAGTGATTTAACCAGTTGGGTAAAGATCAGTATTTATTGCTTTCTTGGCTTTCCAAACATTCAGAAAGTGCTTATTAAAACAGCCAGAGATGGTGTTGTGTTAATTACAGGCATCCAGGTTCACAAGAGGAAAAAAAAATTAAGCCAATAATTTATGGCTGAAACATAAGTTGCAAAAGTGAAACAGCCACACATATTTAATCTGTGAAAGAGCAGTCTAACAGGTCCCAGTTTTACCTGAGTACGGAAGGATAATGTAACAGAGAAAGATTACCTGCTCCTAAATCTGTAGGTGAAAACCAGTTTTGTGTCGTGGTTAAGGCACCAGGCTACAAACCAGGCGATAGTGAGTTCCAGTTCTGTCTTAGGCACAAAGCCAGCTGGGTGACCTTCGGCCAGTCACTTTCTCTCAGCCCTGGGAAGGACGTAATGGCAAACCACCTCTGAAAAACCTTGCCAAGAAAACTGCAGCAATCCACGAGTCATAAAAGAGCCAAGGTTGCCTACCCCTGCTTTAGGCCAAGACTTAGAAAGATTCTGGAATGTAACTTGCATTGATCCAAGCCAAACATCTAGGCACAAAACCAAATGTCCGTAACAAATTAAAATAAACAGTAGTTAAGTAATACTCTGCATATAGCTGGGACTGCACACGTATCAAGCTAACCTCCAGTTTAGACACAGCTTCTCAAACCACAACGGGCTGGATTCACAGATCACATAAGCACACATTATGTATTAACCTAAGGCAGGAGCTAAAGTACTATCAAAGAACACTGGCAATTAATTGAGCACTAGATTATTATGAGATGTTATGGCCAACATCATCCATAACATTGTTGGCAGAAAAGTTTTAAGCATTGGAGCTATCTGTTCAATTTCCTATTGCTCCCCAAATGTTGTATTTGAGTAGAAAACCTTGGCCTCTCATATCAAAAGGGCTTAAGTCAGACGAGTCCAAGACGTTGAACCAAATTATAGTACTTTTGCTCTTTCTGTATGTAACTCAAGAAATTTAAGAAGTTTCTGAACTCTGGCAACTTTTAAAACAGGTGGACTTCACCCCCCAGAATTAAGTCCAACCTATTTTGAAGCTACCAGGGTTGAGAAATAATGCAATAGGGCGGGGGTGTCTTAACTTTGGCCAACTTTAAGACTTGTGGACTACAACTTCCAGAATTCCTCAGCAAGGGAAGTTGAAGTCCACAAGTCTTAAAGTTGCCACGGCTGGACACCCCCGCAATAGCGTATTATTAATCCCATTAATATTAGTCTTTTCATACCCATAGCCTTGCCTTCAAAACTAGCTAGCAGTTCAAACCCAACTTCATTAAAGGCGCCAGGAAAAACAGCTCTTGAGTTGGAGGAATCAGATAGGAAGGACTGGGCCATTGTGAAAATGGTCCAGATGTTGGCTGAACGTAATTCACTGTATCTAAACCACATTCCTAGCTGCAGCCAGAGTCTCTTGCGGATGTTTGGGGAAAGAAAAATGATGTGGGAGAACTCTAAGGGAAGAATCCACTAGGATGCAGCTAGCACTTGCCCAGAAACATGAGATCTGAATTCACCACATGGTTCAAAGAAGAATTTTCTGGACAGCTGCTTGGAAACCTACATGACAAGAACGCCTATCAGCCCTCCTACATTTTCAGAAATACGGATAATAAAAAAAAAAATATCAGCCAGCAAGTTATGTTTCCCAGGGCGAACGTAAAAACACTCACAGCTGTTTCTTCTTTGGACGAGGAAGGAAAGGGACATTTCCAACAATTGGGGGGGGGGTGAAACTTTATAGAGCAAATAAATATTAATAAACACAAGCCAGGGTGTGCCCTTGTAACTCTGGATGGGATCCCAGAATACAATGGAAACATACTTTAGAGTAGGATCTGCTCTGGAGAGCATGTAGGAGACTAATAATAAAATGTACTCTTTGCCTTGTATTAGAGCAGTTTTGTGCCGTGGTTAAGGTGCCAGGCTGGAAACTAGGAGACTGTGAGTTCTAGTCCTGCCTTAGGCATGAAAGCTGCCTGGGTGACTTTGGGCCAATTACCAGGAGGCTATGAGTTCTAGTCCTGCCTTAGGCAGGAAAGATGGTTGGGTGATTTGGGGCCAATTACGAAGAGATGGCGAGTTCTAGTCCTGCGTTAGCAATGAAAGCAAGCTGGGTGACTTTGGGCCAATTACAAAGAGACGGTGAATTCTACTCCAGCCTTAGGCACGAAAGACAGCTGGCTAGCTTTGGGCCAGTCCCTCCCTCTCTCTCTCTCTCTCAGCCAAAGCTACCTCACAGGATTGTTATGGGGAAAACAGGTGGTGGAAGGAGTATTAGGTATGTTTGCCCCCTGAGTTACTTATAAAGACGAGATAAAAAAAAATCTAATAAATCAATAAAAATAAACCAATTAGAGAGACTGGAGCAATAAAACATCTGCTTCAACCATCATTTCCTCACTGCAGCTTAATGGTTAACTGTTGAACCGCAGCCTAAGAAATGCAAACTAGATAACAATGTCATCTTTTGGTTTGCAACCCCTTGGTAACAAAATTCAGGTGGGGTTGATCCAGTCTGGGCAGTAGAATAAAAATTAAGTTGCAGTTTTCAGACTTTGTTAGATAACAGTTGGGTTATAACTATTTTTTTCCCCCAGAAAGTAACCCGAGACGATCAAAATAAAAATATTTATTTCCCACTTTTCATTCAGGAGCTCAAGCACTGCCTCCTACCTTCCTCCAAACAACATTTAGACTATTTACCATGCTAACAAAATAGCCATCTGTCCATTCTGGCTGAGGAATTCTGGGAGTTGAAGTCCACAAGTCATAAAAGGGCCACGTTTGAAGACCCCCTGCTTTACGGATTTGTAAGTAAGTGATGGGAAACGGGAAAATGGGATCATTTGTTATATTTTAAAAGAAGGCGATAAGTTATTTAAATAGTTTGTACTTGTGAAGAGAGAGGTTATTTCTTTATATATTTATTTTCCTTTACTATATTGGTTTTTTTTTTTGCAGTTTCTATCTTTTTCTTTTGTCTGTATTAGTTTTTTCATCTTTTTAATTGTAATCTTTTAAATAAAATGTTTGACTTTTCCCTTCTGACATTCTCCCACCCTTCCAGGTCCACCCCAACCCACAATGAAGTACGCTCACTGCCTTGACTGATAATATAAACCCAGAGGGATAAAAAAAATCTAATCATTATTGTTTCCCCCCTTCCCAGCCAAGACCACCCTTTTCCACAAAACTTGGGCCTTTCCAAAAACAGCTGAACTCTTTCCTTTCTCACCCAGCACTTCCCACAGGACAAATACAACTTCACACCAACCAGCACACCAAATACTTTTATCTTTTCCTTTCATTGCTCCCAGCCTCCCCCCTTTCTGACAGCCACAGCCATCCAGGACCCCACCTCATCCCCCACCCATATCATTTCCCTGCAGCTGCATTAATAGGACAGAAACCCCCCCCCTTTTCATGGGTTGTTCCATCAAATCCCTCTTGCCCAGTTTCTGCCATTGGAAATTTTTAAGAAGAGACTGGACAGCCATCTGTCCAAAATGGTGTAGGGTTTCCTGCCTGAGCAGAGGGTTGGACTAGAAGACCTCCAAGGTCCTTTCCAACTCTCTTATTATTATTATTGATCATCGCACAGTCAGCCAGATGTTCAGACTGGATTTGGCATTTTTATCTATGTATCCTTACCAAGGACCTGGGATAGGCAGAGGTGGATGTTTGATGGATGTTGCAGAATGGAAGCTGTTCCTAGTAAGGCCGCCTTTTGCAACTGACTGATAGTGAATTTATCAATGCCAAGGGTGTCCAAGTGGTGCTCCAGCTTTTTGGGGATTGCACCCAAGACGCCTATTACTATTGGTGCCACCCTTGCTTGCCTTTGCCACAGTCGTTCTATTTGTAGATCTTTCTATTTTATTATGTTACCCAGTTCTTTCTCTTCTAGTCTGCTGTCCCCAGGCACTGCCACGTCCACTATCCAGACTTTTGTCTTTCTTACGGTCTGGATAGTGGGTGCAACATCATCATCATCATTATATTATTATTATTATTATTATTATTATTATTATTATTATTATTATATACCACCCCTGCTAGGTAGTCCAGACTAAAAGCACACCCAGGAGAACTCAATCTCTCTCTATTGTAAAGTTACCCCAACAGAATCTTGCAGAGCTGGAAGTCTTTCTCCCCCCCTCCCACATTGTCTTTCCCCAAAACTAGGAGGGGCCCTTCTCCTCCCCCCAATTCCTGCTTTGGCCTCTCCTCTGACCCCTGTCCAGCCTGCGGATCTTCGTCCTACCTCCCAAGATCATTCTCACAACCCGTGACTGGTTCACACGACCAGCCTCAACCCCCCCCATCCCGCCCTCCCCCAAAGCTGGTTTCTCTCCCTCCCCCTCTCCACTCCCCAGCTTCAAAAGCCCCGGCAGCTCAACTCAGGGGCTCTCTCGGACCTCCCTCCCCATCATCCCCAGCCTCCCTATCAATGTGATCCCCCTCCTCTTTTTAATTAGAAGGTGCAACCCACCCCCGCCCCGTTGCTGGCTCGAGGGGAGGGGGGAGACAGATCTCCAAAGGCTGGAGCGTGGAGGCAGGGAAAGGGCCGATGCGGCAGCTCAGCCACGATGGGGACGATGGGCATTGTAGTCGTCCGAGGCTGGAGGGACCCTGATCGAGCAGTGGCCCGAGCGGGGAGGCGTGCAAGCCCCGGCGCCGCTTCCCTTGTCATCAAGCCCGGCTCAGAGGGGCGAGGCGGCCCGGCTTGCCCGTCCGGAGCGGCGGGACTCACCTCTCCCGGGCGGCGCCGCCGCTGGAGCTGCCGGGCCCCGCGCGCCTCCTTCCCCAGGCCGCCATCTTGGAAAAAGGCTTCGCAAATGTCTCCGCCGAAAGGGAGGGACGGCGGTGCCGAGCCGAGGGCGGAGAGGGCGGCCGAGGGAGGCGCCTCGCGAGGGCCGCCGGGAAACGGAGTCCGGGAAGAGGGCGCGGAGGAAGCCCGGGCAACGGCTTCCTCCTCTCGCTCAAACTACAAACTCCAGCCATCTTGGCGGCGGCCGGGCCGGAGGCGGCGGGGGAAAGGGAAGGGGGGAAAGAGCGCGCGCGGTGCCGCCTGGGAAATGGAGTCTCGTCGCAAGGGAAGGCTGGGGGAACAGCGGACGGGGAAAACTACTTTTCCCAGAGAAGGGCGGGAGTGGCGTGGTCCACGCGGGAGGCTCCCAGAGAGCACGAGGGGCGGGGAGAAGAGATTTACCCACGCTCCGGAGAACGGACGGGGGCCTGGCAGAAGTTCTGGCTCCACCCACTTCGCGCGGCTCAGCCAATGAGAGCCCGGCATCTCGTTTCTCGGGATTCGGATTTGGAATGCACGTTTGCAGTGGAAAATAAACAAATTAAAATTAAAAAAAAAAAAAAACACACAAAACATTTGCTTGCCGTTCAACAGCCCACATGCCTTTCTTCCATTGCAAAGTTCCTATTTAAGGGATTTTTGGGGTGGGGGTTGGTTGGGCGACCATCAAACCAACATCCAGATAAATCATGGTTCGTTAAAAACGAACCAGCACCCAAGGTCATACTAAGCCAGAAAAAAACAGGGAAGAACACCCAAGTTAGCACGTCAATGTGGTCGCTTTAGGAAGTGTGGACTTCAACTAAAGCCAGCATTAGCTTGACCTAAGTTTGAAAAAATACTTGGGCTAACTGAACTCAACCCTTACGGTTTGCAAACTGTTGTAAGGTACGGCATTTTCTGCAAATAGACTTTTGCAGTCAATTTAATCATCTTGATTCGACACATTACGGCTTCGCACTGCCTGTGAATCTGTTCGAGAATCAGCCTTTTCTGCTGCCTCTGGCTTGAAAAGTTGCTGTGTCTAGATAGATGACTGGACAGATAGATGATAATGATTGGTAGATGTTAGAGAGATAGATAATAGAGAGATGAAGGATAGACAGACAGATGATAGATGGTAGATGAGAGAGAGAGAGAGAGAGAGAGATGTAACCCTTTAGTGAGTCTTTTGGCGTGAGTAAAAGAATCTCTGCACATTTCCATTGTCTTGCAGGTTCCAATCCCACCAAAATCAGTGATCTTTAGTGACCAAACAGCTTAGCCACACTTTTAAAAACGGTATTTCATGCAACAGGATCAGATTTTTATTCATAACACAACCCGAGAAGGAAAATGTTAAAAACACACATGTACACACCAACCGGAAATGTCATTGTAAGAAGTCCTGAGTTAAAAAGGCACATAGAATAAGGGTAAAAATAATCCCACGTTGGTGGAAAACACAGAGTCAGCCCCCCCCTCCGAATCTTCTAAGCTGGTGGCTTTTGATGCTCTAGGTGGTTCATAAAGTTGTGCCCATCTTATAGTTCTTGAAGCGCTGTGTGCCCACCTAATGGACTTCCGATCCTCAATCTAACAATAAAGAGGTGCTTTATCCATGCTCTGTTCTTCCTCCAGCAGATCCCAGGAATATTTTTCGTTCTCAAATATCTGCTAAAGTTTCGTTCCCCCCAATTTGGCCTCTTCAAGAAAAGTTTGGACTTCCAAGAATCTCTAGCCAGCTCAACCATAGCTGGACAGCTGCACCCAGACACTTACAACCGAGATACTTCAAGAGAGGAAAAATGGGGCCTCCAATCCACCACCTTGGGCTTTGTGACTCCTTCAAGGACAAGGATCTGATTACCTCTGCCCTCCCGCTGCTCACCCTGGAGACACTTGTCTCTCTGCAATGCAAAAATTAAAAATTGCAGAAAGGTAAGAGGTTGTTGTTTTTTCAAAAAAGAAAAGCATCAGTGTTACTAACAATAACTCAGTAGGTTCAACAAAGTTTTGCTGGGGCACCACAGAAGGAAACTGGAGCGTTTCTGAAATACTGTACTTATTGTAAACCTGGAAGGACTAACTCTGATCTTTGCAAGCCACCTCTTCGGCTGAGAAAAGTATTCCCATCATGTTTAGGATAAGTCATCTCTCTTCTTCTCCTCCTTCTCCTTAGTGTCCAATAGTATTTTCTAGATAAGGGGGACATCTTCGGAGACACAACTGAAGACAATGGGGTGCCGTGGCAGTGACTGAGCAGTAAGGACGAGAAGCTCAAGTTTTCTAATTGTACAACAAGCAGTTTTAACATAGACGCTTGCTGGGAGGGCAGATGTCCATCAGATAAGGCGTGTGAATGCCTAAGAGTGCCGATACCCTCCCAAAACATCAGTTGGACTCTCACTGGCATCTTTTCAGGACAGTTTCTCAAACTTGGCAAATTTAAGACCAGTGGAATTCTGGGAGTTGAAGTCCACCCATCTTAAAGTTGCCAAGTCTGAGAAACCTTGCTTTAGAACCATCAATAAGTCAAACCACACAATACCATTGGCTGCCCCAAAAAATCGTCCTTTAGGTAATGATTACCTTATCTCATTTTCTCCATTTATTTCTGCTGAAAGACAGATCTAAAAAGCTGAACGGAGCAGGAAAAAAGGATAGGGACACTTGGACCTCTCAAAGGAATCCAAATTCCAGGTCTGCGGCAAGATTAACACAGCCAAATCCTTCCAGGTGCCGCCCTCCTATTAAAAGAAGTTCCTTAGTATGAGCACCCTCTGTACTGGCCCAGGGTGATGGAAACTGTAGTGCTAGACATCTGGAGGGTGCTTGACTAGGGACAATAGGACTAAATAACCCCCATTCAGGACAGGAAGGGGAGGGTAGGAAGAGAACAGGAAACAGAAGGCAATTACAGCTCCCTGCAAAACCTTATTGCGTTAGCTTGCAAGTAATTGCAATCTAAAGAGGTAACTTGGACAATAGTCTCACCCATGGATATGTTCTGTTTAAACAGGGGTGTCCAGTCTTGGCAACTTTTAAGATCTGTGGAATTCTGGGCAGTTGGACACCCTGAAGACTTGTGGACTTCGACTCCCAGAATTCCATCGGTCTTAAAAGTTTGCCAAGGTTGGGCACAATCCTATCAGGAGCCCCTCTCTATTTTTCTGACCCATTCTTCCCAGTATCCCCAGCCATCCTCGCCAGAGGTGAAGGGCTGAAGAAGTGGAGAGCTCGATCACAGCTAGAAAGCTAACATTTCCCCCCCCCCAAGAGTAGACCCATTTCGCTCCAGTCTCTTTTCTTGAACCACTTTTAGCCGATTCAACTTAATGAAGACCTTCTAGCAGCATCTCCTGTGAAATCCCTGGCCATTAAGATTGTACGTTTCCACCTCCTTTACGCTGTCTGCATTGTGGATCTGTTAAAAAAAAATATGGCTCAAGTAGAAAAGGACTCTCTTTTAGTTGGAGATGCCCATCATTTGTCCAGAAGATACCCAACGCTCTTCCCTTCCTCAGCCTCTCGCTCTTTGTCTTCTTCCATATAACAGGAAACATCCCCCCACCAGCGGAGGGGAGATTGAGATGGGAGGGAGGTTCCACCAAAAAGTGATAAATAGCCACGCCAGTCCATTCTTCAAAATGTCCGTAGAATCCATCTAAGCCTCTCCTTCACACACTGTCACCCCAAAAAAAAACCAACACCGTGGCGAGCTCAGTTGAGCAGGAGCCCCAGTAAAAGTCCTTCCTTCACTGCAGTCCATGCTTTGGCAGGTGCCCCAGGGTGGGGAGGGCTCACAGCAGGAGCCCAGCTTTCATTTAACCTCTTGTTTTCAGCTCCAGGTTTAGCCTGCACCTGGTCACACAATGAATCTAGCCAAGTGTTCAAAGATGCCCTTGGAGATCCAGACAGCTCGGCGTCTGTCTTCTCCATGCTGCTTCAGGAGAACGGCGGCCAAGCTGACTTCCTTTAGCTCAACCCTCATTGCAAACCTGACCCCCACCCCATGCCTTCTCCTGCCACAAGTTCACCCACCCAACTGGCAGGAGGTTGAATTTTGCCCCCTGAGGGTTTCCAGGCAAATTATCAATGCACACCGTAAAATCCTCAAGTCGGCCGAACCGTTCGGAGAGCGGCTTGGAAGCATGGTGGAGAAATCACACCATCTGGTCTTTTTTCAAACGCAGGACCTCTGAGCACGGACAGAGGCAGGCGAGGAGTCCCCCGTGACAGCTTGGAGGCCAAGGCAAGTCCCTAGCAGACCTGGCTGCCATCTTCAAACCAGATTCCCCTGCTCTCCGGGGTTAAGACTGTAAACGTTCCAGATACTGGGGCAGCGGATTCTCCTTGACGTATTTCTGGATATACCAACATGTCAGGTGAGCTTTCAAATCTTCCTCCACCACAAAATCCAAGGCAGCCTGGAAACAAAGACGAGAAAGACCCCCCGGAAACAGAGTTAGCTTCTGACATGCAGGTAAGTTCGCAATTTGCAACCACAATCGGGATTGGATTGTCGCAAAGCAAAGTGGGGCTTAAATCAGGCCTGCCTGATTTTATGTCCTCTTTTGCCAGGGAAGTTAAGCAAATCACGGCAATTGTTAAATGAATCACATAGTCATTAAATGAACTGGGCGTCCTCCATTGACTCAGTGGAACAACTTGCCCTCTAGAAGTTGTGGGTGCTCCAACACTGGAGATTTTTAAGAATAACAGAGTTGGAAGGGACCTTGGAGGTGTCTAATCTCAAGCAGGAAACGCTAGAGCAGCGGTTCTCAACCTATGGGTTGCGACCCCATTTGGGGTCGATCGACCTTTTTTCGGGGGTCGCCAAAGGTGGCGATCCGCCATTTTGTCCCCTCCGGGGGGGCGCTGCGCCTCTGGGGGGGCGGTGCCGCGCATGCACGCCGTGCGTGGGGGTGGCGGCGCGCCTCTGGGGGCGGTGCCGCGCATGCGTGCCGCACACGGGGCCCCCGCCCCAATGCGCGCCGTGCGCGGGGCGCCACCGCGCATGCGCGCCGTGCGCGGGGGCGCCGTCCCCATGCGTGCCGCGCATGCGCACCGTGCGCGGAGCCCCGCCCCCATGCGCGCCGCTGCCGCGCATGTGCATAACCTTTGTGTGACGGGGGTCGCCGTCACACAAAGGTTAAGAACCGCTGCGCTAGAGAGTTCCAGACAAATGGCTGTCCATTTTTTTTTCTTAAAAACCTCCAGTATTGGCATCCCCACAACTTCCGGACGCAAACCGTTCCACTGGTTAATTGTTCTCACTGTTAGAAAGTTTCTCTTTAACTCTAGGTTGCTTCTCTCCTTGATTAGTTTCCACCTGTTGTTTCTTGTCCTGCCTTCAGGGGCTTTGGAAAACTGGCTGACTGCCACCCCTTTCTTTGTGGCAGCCCCTCAAATATTGGAACACTGCTATCACATCACCCCTAGTCCTTCATTTCACTAGAGCAGACAGGCCCAATTCCTGCAACCGTTCTTCATATCTCCTTCCTATAAAAAGAGACTGGATAACAATCATTTATCTAAAATTGTCTAGGATTTCCTGCTTGAACAGGGGGTTGGACTAGAGGACCTCCAAGCCCACTTCCCATTCTGTGCTTCGGTCAATCTGCTTGTTGGAAGCTGGCTGGGAAGGTGGCAGATGACAATCTTGTGATCTTGGATGCCTTCTGCCAAATGGAGGAGAGGCATCAGCATAACTGAACAAGAAGATGCTAGAGTTAGGTATCAAGGGGCAGAACCATCATGGATAAGAACTAGAACTTAGACCCAGAAGCCCAATATTTTCCAGCAGTTTTGGCTTCTGCTAGTCAGGAAGTGTAGGCGTGCACTCCTCCTGCCCCAACTCCAGCTTCTGAATCATGGTAAATAATCCACCCATGTTGGGAAAAAGGCGTGGCTCACTGTTGCCAAATCTTCTCCTGGGCCACAACAAGCCTTAGCCAAACCTAAGCAAAAGTCATCCCAGGTCACGGTTTCCATCTCCAGCTCTTACACAAGCTACAGGTTCAGGAGGACCTCAGATGACATGCTTCCTCTTCTAGTTCTAGTGCCACCCATCTAGAATCCAAGATGGAGCCAGGTAGGTAGTTCTGGGCTTACAACAGTTCCTTTACTGACCGTTCAAAGTTACATCGGCCCTGGAAAACATGACTTTGGACCATTTTTCACATGCCCGTTGCAGCATCCCGCGGTCACGAGATCAAAATTCAGAGGCTTGCCTTCTGGTCCTTTGGAAAATAAACTGACCCCTCTCCTCTTTGTGGCAGCCCCTCAAATACTGGGATACTGCTATCATATCCCCCCAGACCTTCTTTTCTCTAGATTAGCCATACCCAAATCCTGAAACCTGCAAGCCAGGTTTCCCTCCTGGCCTTAGAAATCCTGTCGACAAAGGAAGCCACAGGAAGGGGAAGAAGGAATGAAGAACAGAGCAGACTGGAGGAGATCAAGACAACTGATAACGCAGAGAAGCCGCAGGATCCTAGCAAAACCATAAGCGGCCTCTCTTAAAAGATCAGAATTTGCAAGCCAAAGCTGCTTATCCATAAATTGCAGGTTGCAAAGCAAGGTCATTCTGTCCCTTTTGAGTCCCCAGCCATAATCAGCTCTGCGCCCCGGTTTCTCCATGCTCATTAGCTAATTTAATGAACAAAGGCCAGAGGATAATAAAGAAATAAGCAGCAAAAGCCCAACGAGGCGATTTTGATGGGACCAGCTGAAACGCTATACGACAACGTGTGCATGGAAATTAAACCAAGATTTTTTTTTTCTTTCTCTTTTTGGGAAGGAGGAGGGGTTTCCCCACAAATTCAGCCCTCCCTGGTCCAGCTCGCTCCAGATGTAAGATTTTTACTTCCAGTCTCTTTCTCACCAGCCTGGAAAAACCAAGATGCCTGGCCAAAGGCTGAACATTTCAATGGAATTTACGATTTTTTAAAACAATTGCTTTAAAAGAAAGACGGCTATAGCTAGAAAATCAGATTTGCATCGTGGTGGTTTCAATACGCCAAGGGAACATTCTTTTCTATCTGCAGTTTTTAGACAGTCAGAAAGCTTGGCTGAGACAGCGTAAATGTGAACCATGGGTCATAAATATTACTGGGTGAATTTTCCTTCAGCTGGTGACAATAAAGTGGATTTTTGAGGGGAGAAAAAAACCTTCCATTTTGGAAATGTCTTTGGAAGGGACATGTTTAACAGATGCCAAGTTTAATCTCTTTCCTGACTGCCAATGTATTTTCCTAGCAATTCATTCTCTGGATCTAACAAGAAAAAGTGTCAAAAATACATGCAATAAAATGTATTCCCTCCCCAAAGATATCGTAAGAGTTAATCTACCGAAGTACAAATAGGAAAAAAAAACTGCTGGTACTCTTAAAAACTGGCAAAAATATTCTCCTACAAAAGCTTTACATTCTCTGCACGGTATGTAAATCTTTGTGAGAGTACTCGGAACAACTTAGAATAAGAGGGAAAGCGGAAAAGCTATTGAAGATCACCGAGCATCCCTTTCAGAAGGGCAACCAGTTGATCCATACCTTGGCCAGGTGTTTTGCGATTCCTCTGCCCCTGTAGGTATCTGGGACCTCAGTGTGCTGGAGATCTATAACCCTCTTTCCCACGTATTCATACAACAGGACCGCTTTATCATGGCAGCCTGCAAGTGGAAAGACAAACCACGTCACACGAGACACCTGTACCTGGAAAATTTAAAATAGGAGTACGAGACATTATTAGCACGCAACCTTCCTCAACTCACATCTGGACTGCAACTCCATCATCCATAGCCAACATTGTGGGCTGACGACCCATTCATTAAGTGACATTGCCCTTCATTCGGTTATAAAAATCTATCCAACCTGTCCCCTTCTGGAGAAATTAAAAATAAGTTGGAATCTACGCTCAGTTGTGCCCTGCCTATTCTCCCTCAAAAAAAGATTTCAGAAACTTAACAGGCTGAACCAAAGGTGCTTTTTCAGGAAGCAACTGGATTTCCTTTGTTTCAGGCAGGAAACCCTATACCATTTCGGACAGATGGCTGTCCAGTCTCTTCTTAAAAACTTCCAGTGTTGGAGCACTCACAGCTTCTGGAGGCAGGTTGTTCCACTGGTTAATTGTTCTAACTGTCAGGAAGTTTCTCCTTAGTTCTAGGTTGCTTCTCTCTTTGATTAGTTTTCATCCGTTGCTTCTCGTCCTGCCTTCAGGGGCTTTGGAGAATAGCTTGACTCCTTCTTCTTTGGGGCAGCCCCCGAGATATTGGAAGACTGCTATCTTGTCCCCCCTCGTCCTTCTCTTCATTAAACTAGACAGACCCAATTCCAGCAATCGTTCCTTATATGTTTTAGCCTCCAGTGAATTGTTGTGAGTTGAGGACTTCAAACTTGTATATGCATTGTTATAAATCGAGCATTATCTGTAATTCCACCATAATGTGGTTCCATTACTGTGAAGATAATACAACGAGGGTTTTTTTTCTCTTAAATTTAAACAAAAGTTATGGAGGCTTCAGAAAGCGCAGCTTGTTAAAAGACAACACAGTTAAAACAAATTAGAGTTGAACACTTTGTGCCCGCTAGATTTTCATGCGCTGCACCCAAAACAGATGCTTATCTCTGCTCTGTTGAATAAGATATCCTCTGTTTGACACAGAACACGTGCCCAACACTCGAAAGCAAACAGATCTAATTGTGGTTCGGAGGCTGAGTCAAACCAGATTTGGCTAACTGAATGGAAGCCACCTTCAGGAGCTACGATCTGAAGCTTGTCTGAACCTTGATGGAAATTCAACCTCGGGTTTTTTTTTTTCAGTTTTATGCAGTTGTCCATCTAAAAACAAACAACAATTTTCAGATTTGTCCTCGCAGCCAAATTGGATGATGCATTCTGGTGGTTTATTGCAGCATTCTACATGTATGCAAACAATTCCTATTAAGGGGAACTTTCAGAAACATCTATTTTGCAAGACGGAGTAATGTTTGGCTATGTCACCCCTAGCCAGAATATTTATTTGAGGCAAACTCTTCTGCCAGGTTCACCCCAATCTTCCAAGTTCCCCAAATAAAGTTAAGCCAAAACAAAGGTTGCTTAATTAGGGCTCAACACCTACCCTGAATCCATCTGGTGCACAGTTCATTTAGTAAATCACAACTTGTGTGAAACAGTCTTTATCGGTGTTTCTCAAGTTTAGTAACTTTAAGATGCGCCGAGATCAATTCCCAGAGTATCACTCCGACTTCAAATTGTGTGTTGTTTTGTGGCTCAGCGTGATGTGTGCAACAAGGACCTTGGATCAATTGAGAAACTAGGTTCCTTTAACCATGGCTAAGTGCATGGTGGGTCACCTTGAAACGGGGGAAAGCTGCACCACTGGTTCTCACTGGATGGATGTTGGACGTCTATGTGAGGTTCTGAAATATGAGTTTGTCAGTCTTCTGCTCCAGTGTTTCTCAAAGCAACTGGGTGGACTTCAAGTCCCAGAATTCCCCAGCTAGCATGGCTGGGAATTCCGGGAGTTGAAGGCCAACACAGCATGAAATCCCCAAGGTTGAGAAACATTGGACTATCTCAGATCCTTTCATTCTTTGTGCGACCTCCTTTAGAAGCAGCAATGCTTCCAAAGTTACCACGTGGTGGTCCAGATTTTTAATGGGAAAACCAGACCAGCCGTATCCATACATGCCCCCCAAAGTCAAGATGGTTTGATTAAAACTCAGCCTCCGATTCTATCAGACCGTCCCAGACAACTTGACTTAGAACATAGAATAAGAGAGTTGGAAGGGATTTTGGAGATCTTCTAATCTAACCCCCTGCTCAAGCAGAAGATCCAATACCATTTTAGATAAATGGCTGTCCCGTCTGATTTTGAAAGCTTCTAGTGATGGAGGACCCATAGCTTCTGAAGGCAAGCTGTTCCATTAGCTCACTGGTTCTCAACCTGTGGGTCGGGACCCCATTTGGGGTCAAATGACCATTTCACGGGGGTCGCCAAACAACGCAGTCCGCCATTTTTTCCCCCCTTTTCCTTAGCTGTGCTACTCCCTTTTATTCTATTGGCTTTTGAAAGCCAATAGAATAGACTCTCTTGAATAGAGTCTAATTCTATTGGCTTTCCAAAGCCAATAGGGGCAGGCTGTCTCTGCCCTGCTGAGCCCGCCAAAAGTCCCGTTCTGCAAACGGTGCTGCACCAGTTGAGTAGTCCTCGACTTACGACCGGTTGAGTAGTCCTTGACTTACGACCGGTTGGGGGTCGCGGCATTAAAAAGGTTGAGAACCACTGCATTAGCTGATTGCTCTCACAGTTAGGAACTTCCTCGTTAGTTGCTCCTCTCCTTGGTTAGTTTCCACCCATTGTTCCTCTTCTTGTCTTTGGTGCTTTGGAAAAATCATTTGACCCCCTCCTCTTTGTAGGAGCCCCTCAAATATTAGAACACTGTTGTCATGTCTCCCTGAATCCTGACTTGTAACCATGCCACACAGACACCCCAGATTTGTCTGGATAACTTTGCTAAAAACCGAGCCAATATATGCTAGCATCTGTTTTTCTGTTTCTTTCCCCTCCAAATGCTGTGTTTTTCTATAAATATGGCCAAAAAGATGCTATTCTTACCCTCTTGACCATCTCTCTTCCCGACTGAACAGAATTCAAAATGCCTTTACAAAATGCTTTTTGGCTGAAACAAAACCTTTGGAGAGAAACAAACTCTACCAATTTGATTTATAGCTCCAGCAGATTTTCTTCTGCAATCCCTCACTATGAAACTATTTTAACCTTGTGCTATTTAAGGAAGTTCAACTCCTTTGGCTCTTCTCGCCTTCTTCCAGCCTGCAAGATTCATTTGCTATTTACTTTTTCACCCATTGTCAAAAGGCAAGATTATTCTCTAGAGAGAAAAGAAGGCAATCCTGTGTATTTCTATTTGCAGCCATTTAGCAGCCCTGTCTCTCCTACAGGCTATGTTAATGTTTGAGTTGTTTATTCATTTTAACACAGCCTGCAATGTAAATAAAACAAGCGCAAACTTTAACAAAAAAACTTTTTTTAAAGCACAACTGTGAGGGAAAACACAGAGTTTGAAAGAGACTAACCTCGCTCTTTCGCTCCTGTGTATAAAGTGCAGTCGTTCAAGCACACACCATACCAGAAAGTAGTTTGCAGTTCCTACGAAACCAGGTTTTAACAACAGTGTGATAAAGAAGACCAGGGGACTAGTCTATTCAAAACCTCTAAGCCACAAATCACACAGGCTAGGGACTAGGTTGATGCCTTTTGCTAAAGCCCCGTTTTCAAATTTGGACATGTTAAGAAGGGTGGATTTCCAGAATTCCTCAGCCAGCTGCTATCCGCCTGAACTATATAAATCAGTGTTTCCCAAACTTGACAATTTTAAGGCATGAGGACTTCAACTCCCAGAATTCCACAGCCAGCAACGCTGGGAGTTGAAGTCCTCATGCCTTAAAATTGTCAAGTTTGGGAAACACTGATATAAATCAAGTTCATTGGGTTTGTTTCTCTCCAAAGGTTTTCTTTCAGCTAAAAGCTGTGCTTGGCTCTGGGAATTCTGGGAGTTGAAGTCCCCCAACTTAAAGTTTCCAGCTTTGACAAACACCTGCTAACTCCTCAAGGGATGTGCTCGGTTGAACTCAAGTTCTGCAAATCCAGCCTTTGCGGGTTCTCAATCGTGGCTGGGCTGACGACAAGGGAGCCAAGGGCAGCAAGCCATGATTTAGCAGAAGAGGCTTCAGACCTTGCTGCCAAAGTCAGCCAAAACCAGTGGAAGCCACTCAAGCGAGAGGGCGCCTTGTCTTGAGCCATCAAACCCGGAGGAGACTCAAGTGCAGTGGTTACCCCGAGTAGAATCAACGCCCCCCCCCCTAGAAATTCAGGGAGGTCTCAAAGCGGAGCATCCCAGGCTAAGCGTCCAAGGCAGCTGGAGAGGAGATTTCCAGATCCATTCCAACCGGGGTTTAAAAATAGCAACTGCAGGGGAGGAGAAGCCAGGCGCTTTTCCTAAGCAAGCAAGCAAGCAGCGCCAGGGGAGGGCGATCCCGGGGGCGTCCGGTTGCAAAGCGACCGCCGCCCAGATCAAAGCTGCCAACCCTTCTCCCGTGTTGCCCCCCCCTTTTCCGCTTAAACTCCGGGTTTTCGGAGCGGGGGGGGGAGAAATTGGGGACCTAAGCAGCTATCCTTGCTCGGCTGGGCAGCCCCCGGCCGAGAGCCCCCCCGCCTGGCTTAATCCAGCCCCCTCCCCATCCGGCAGAGCATGCAATTCCAAGCTGGAACGCGATGGAAGCTGGTTTGCCGCGTTCCGACGACCTCTGCCAGATCAGCGGAGGCTTTCCTCTGCCAAGGGGCGAACAAAAGACGCCCCCCCCACCCGCCACCGCCTGCAGACCCCCTGGGCATGGGGGGGGAGAGAGAGAGAGAGGGAGAAAGAGAAGGAAGGAAGGAAGGAAGGAAGGAAGGAAGGAAGGAAGGAAGGAAGGAAGGAAGGAAGGAGGAAGGGGAGATAAGAGATAGAGGGAGGGAGGGAGGGAGGGAAGGGAGAGGGGGGGAGAAAGAGAAGGAGGAGAAGCAAGGAAGGGAAGGGAGGGAGGAAGGGGAGAGGAGATAGAGGGAGGGAGGGAAAGAAGGAGGGAGAGAGGGAAGGAAGGAAGGGAGGGAGAGAGAGGGGGGGAGGGAGGAGAGAAAGAGAGAAGCGGGGGGGGGCAGCCTTCCCTTCCCTCTCCCCCCCCTCCCCGGACCGGGCTCTCCTTACCGTTCAGACGGACGGTGAACTGCCTCCGCTTGCGATCGTGCTCCACCTGGATGGGGAAGCCGGGCTCCAGCAGGTTGAGCGGGGCCGCCTGCGCCATGGAGGGTCCCCTGCCTGCCCGCTTGCCCCGGCCGCTCCTGCGCCTTTGTCCGCGCGTGGTGGGGAAGGGCGGGGAGGGGAGCCCGGTGCGTGTGTGGGGGGGGGAAGGTGGGATGGGGGGGCCCCCAATGCTAAGGCTGATCAATCAATCCTCGGCCGGCTACTGGGGTGGGGGGGCAGGCTGGAGGGGGGCGATCCTTGCATTCTCCGGCCAGGAAACTTCGTAATGGGAAAAGACTGGGGGGGGGGGAAGAGAGAGAAAAAAAAACAAAACCACCCACTCCGGCCGCGGAGCCGAAGCCACCGCTCAGAAGCAAAGGGATAAAAGCGCAGGAAATCAGCTGTGAGGTCACGTGGCCGGCGGGCGGCCAATGGGCGGCCGGGCGCTTTTGTTTTGATACATTCCGTTCGGCCCTTAAAGGAGCCGCGCTGCCTTTTTTTTTTTTTTCCGGGCGGCTTTGCCTACGGCTCGCTCCTCGGCGGAGGTTCTTGGTGAGGAAGGGGCAGCGCGAGGGGTTTGGAGGGAGAGGGGAGGAGGGGGAATGACTGGGGGCTCGAAAGGGTGGGGGGCGTTTCCTCCAGGGTAAGGGGGCTGGGGGGGGTTAGACGTTTTTACTTTGGAATGGTTTTGCATTTATATGTCGGTGTCTTCTTTGGGTAGGGAGCGCCTTCCACGGTTTTTCAGGCGCTGCACTGATGGTGTTGCCTAGTTTGGTAATAAAACGTCTTGCAAGAAAACCGTCCAGGGCCCCTAAGACCCCACAGTCGTCCTCCTCCTCCTCCCCCCCACAAACCCTTTTAGCATTGATGATGTTACCTAGTTTGGTAATAAAACGTCTTGCAAGAAAACCGTCCAGCTCACAGGGCCCCAAAGACCCCACAGTCGTCATCCTCCTCCCCCCCACAAACCCCACTCCCTTTTAGCATTGATGATGTTACCTAGTTTGGTAATAAAACACCTTGCAAGAAAACCACCAAGCTCAGAGGGCACCGAGGACCCCACAGTTTTAACTTTTTTTAAAAAAAAAATGGTTTTATTTAAATGGTCTTGATTGCCTGGGGTGTTCCTCCCAAAGTCATATTGATGAAATAGATGGCTGTGTACTTTGTGGTTTTGGTTTTTTTTAATTATTTATATACATGAGATGAGGGAACTATGTATTTCTAAGGTTGTTTTTTTTTTTAATTTTGGGTTGCAGGAGATGGGAAACTATATGTAGTCACATGGGTGAGTTGGGAGTTGAAGGCCAATATCTTAAATTTGCCAAGGATGAGAAATACTGCTGGGGGGGGGGCTTTGTCCAATCCCAAGGTTCATCTTTTTAATGTTTTCTGTTTTGAAAGGGAAACTGCCCAGAGTTATTCTGGTATCAAACAACTTCTCTAATGAAATAATCGTAACAATAGTAATCACATTGCTCTACGTTCAACTCCTGGCAATAAGAAGAGCGATACAACTAAGCCCAGTCACCTCGTTCTGAAGTTTGGTGAATTTTAATTTATTTATTTTATTTATTAAATTTATCTGCCGCCCATCTCTGTTCAACTCCAGGTGAGGACAACATGAACACAACTGTCTAAATTTTCAGGACATCGTTGTACTACTGTTGTTTGGGAGAATTTATTTATCTATTTTGTTAATTCCCTATCTAAGCTACAGGCTTGGAATTTTCAGGTGGATTAACCAGAGCCCTAATCTTGCTTAGCTTGTTTCAAGATGAGCCAAACCTGCCAAAAAGGGGTGGGTGGGGGACCAGCTATTCTACAATTGACAACAAAGGGAAGGAAGAACCGAGGCAGGCAACGGAAAGGAAGGAAAACATGTAGCTTTGTGGAGATTATTATAATATCCGCTCCTTGCAGAGATCAGATTTTAATGCTCTGAGCATTTGTCAGGAAACAGGGCATGCCCTGGTACCATTGTAGGAGTCCCTGCCAGAGATTAACTGAAAGAAACACAAAGTTTAGAAGACATGACTCACCACTGCAGCCGATTCTAAGAAGCAAATCTGAATTGGCAAGGTTGACTTTTTTCCACCTCTTGAATTCGCTTTTTATTGATTCTGTGACTTCTATAAGTACTGTAATAATCACAGGGGACAGTTTTGCACGGCCCACCTAGCCATAAATGAGGTCTTAATGATCTGAACTGGATTTGGGAGAAGAAAGAGAAAAGGGGAGGGAGGGAGGGAAAGGGAGAGAGAGAGAGAGAGAGAGAGATGGAGACTTCCAACTTTTTATTAGTGTGGTCAAATACATATTAAAAATACGGCCTCAGCTTTTGGCTGTATACCTCACAGCATACACTTCAAACCATTTTTACAATAAAATCTTTCCAATCATCAAAACCAGAAATCACACTTTTTTTTTTTTTTAGTTTCAAGCAAAAAGTCCAGAAGCGGTTTCCAAGTAGAAACAAAACTAGTGAAGTTCTCCTCTTTGATTAAAGCAGCCATTTTTGCCATCTCCACCATCTCCCGTCATTTTTATCATCCTCTCTTCCATTGTGGGAAACTTATAGACTACAGAATAACAGAGTTGGAAGGGACCTTGGAGGTCTTCTAGTCCAGCCCCCAGCTCAGGCAGAAGACTCTATCCCATTTCAGACAAATGGCTGCCCAGTCGCTTCTTAAAAACTTCCAGCGTTGGAGAATTCACAACTTCTGGAGGCAGGTTGTTCTCCTGATTAATTGTTCTCATGGTCAGGAAATTTCTCCTTAGTTGTGGGTTGCTTCTCTCCTTGATGAGTTTCCATCTATTGCTTCTTGTCTTGCCTTCAGGGGCTTTGGAGAACAGGCTGACCCCTTCTTCTCTGTGACAACCCTTCAAATACTGGAAGACTGCTAACTCCTACTCAAGACTTCATTTATATTTTCTGTCTCTCTGTGTGTCTTTCTGGATCTCAAGTGGGGAACTATGCAACCTAAAGGAACAATACTTTTTCCATCGCCCGTTCCAAGAAGAAGTTAGCATGATTCTCTCCCACAGCATGTTCTGTACATTCTTTAGGAAATTCATCAGAAAGAATGCCAGGAATGGAAGTGGGTGGAAAGAGAGAGAAAGCCCCTAGTATCTGCCTGCTGTTTATTTACGCAATTCATTGATTCTTCAGGCCACCCGATCTGCAGGGCTGGAAAGGAAAGCATCCATTCTTCAGGAGATCCCTCCTGATTGCTTTCTAGTAAAATAAATCCACAATCTTGCACAGAGCCTTCCCGAGAAGGCTGGGAGCAGGTGTGGAAAATCCAGCCAGTTGACTTTGGAGGTTTCAGCCTCCGGAATCTTGCCAGAAGTATCAACGATAAATGGATTCAGTCTTTTGGGATGCTGCCTGGAATTTGCAGCAGGTTACAACCTGCTTCAGCCGATTGGACGTTGAGCTGTTAACAAAAAAATAGAAATGGGAACAAGAAATGCCCTACCTCAGGTGTCTTTGCTGTGATTAAAAATTAATAACAGTCATAAAAACAAAACACTTCCCCTAAGGAACGTGATGCGCTGCTTATCTGATCAAATTCACTGGGTGGATTCTGTAATTTATTCAATGGCCACTAGGAGGCGGAATGAGCCTATCAGAAAAATTGCACAATTATAAACGCAACTTTGCTAGTTAAAATGTCTCATCTATTTGCTCAACACTTTATTTTTTATTTTATTTTTTAAAAAGAGGAATACTGACTTTTTTGTCTTTGCAGTAAAGATCCCGATTCCATTCTAAGTAGGCTGGAAAAGCAAGCAGGTAAAGGCAGAAATGTCCGTTGTCCTACAGCTGAGGATGGGCCTCCACCTATGATCTGCATTGAAGAAGGAGCTTCTCACTTCTTCAGCTGTTCTCCTTGTTGGAAAATGGCCTGTGGAAAAGCCAAGAATGGTCTACCTAGAAAGACCAGTAACAGAAATCAAGAGGGGGAATCAAGAGGAATTCCCAGTGGAGTGGACAGCTAAATGTCCTTTCTGTGAGAAAGGCGGGCAGCTTCAGAGTTTGAGATAGATAGATAGATAGATAGATAGATAGATAGATAGATAGATAGATAGATAGATAGATAGATAGATAGATAGACACACGATATAGATACATGATAGCTACATATAGATGATATAGATGATGGATAGATAAAGAGATAGATAAATGAGATTATAGATGATATAAATGATAGATAGATAGATAGATAGATAGATAGATAGATAGATAGATAGATAGATAGATAGATAGATAGATAGAAAGATGGGCTTGCATGCTGACTCTTTAAGTCTACCCATCGCTAAAATCATGCTTTGTTGAGCAAGTTACAACTGGCTGAGTCCATATGTTGCTCTAAACCAGTGCTTCTCAACCTTGGCAAGCTTGAAGGTGTGTGTGTGGGGGGGGACTCCTAGAACTCCCCAGCCAGCCCAATGTCTTAACCAAACCAGCCCAGTTGGCCGGAATCACCCTCCACCATCAGCCCCATACCCATCCTGATTGAATCAAGCAGCCCCAAACGAGCCAAGCCGCGTTACTGCGACTCCTGATGCTCAGCCAGCCCTCAAGCCGTCTTCCCATCAAGGTGGGGTCAACGCAACTGTGAAGTGGTGGTGATTAAATCTCCCTGGCTTTTCAGAGAAGACGGGGATTCCCTGCCAGGCAAAGAGCAGTTTCAGCCAAGGGAGTTTTTTTTTTTTTTTTTTACAAACCGCAGCAGGTCGTAAAGTTTCTCTCACCACTACATCCTGCTGCAAAACTCAGTTATGAGAATTTCTCCCCCTTCCCCACTGCCACCCAAAAATTAAACTTGAGTGAATGCTGGCTTCATTTCTTTGGCCAACAGCCCCTCTTCTCAGCCATCTCAGCAGGCTTCCTGGGAATAATAATAATAACAATAATAACAGTAACAATAACAATAATAATAGTAATAATAATAGTAATAATGGTAATACAGTTGGAAGGGACCTTGGAGGTCATCTAGTCCCACCCCCTGCTCAGGCAGGAAACCCTACACCATTTCAGACAAATGGCTGTCCAGTCTCTTCTTAAAAACTTCCAGTGTTGGAGCATTCACCGCTTCTGGAGGCAGGTTGTTCCACTGGTTAATTGTTCTGTCGGGAAGTTTCTCCTTAGTTCCGGGTTGCTTCTCTCCTTGGTGAGTTTCCATCCATTGCTTCTTGTCCTGCCTTCAGGCAATTTAGAGAATAGCTTGACTCCCTCTTCTTTGGGGCAGCCCCTGAGATATTGGAAGACTGCTATCCTGTCCCCCCTCGTCCTTCTCTTCGTTAAACTAGACATGCCCAATTCCAGCAACCGTTCCTTGTATGTTTTAACCTCCAGGTATGTCATTGGCGACACCGATGGGTTATAGAAGAATTTCTCCTGCTCTTCCTCTTTTTTTTTTTCCTTCCTTGTTGTTGCAGTGAGCTACTCCACCATCCTCCCAGCCTCCCTGTTGAGCTTTCCAGTCCCAGATTCACACCGCCTCCTGATTTATTTATTTATTTCCTCCTTTCCCCCCCCCCCACCCCTTCCCTTTCCTCATTCCATGCAATCCATCCTGATAAGGAAGCCACATTTGTGGAGCTGATTAAGGCTGGGTTTGTTCGCAGAGGTAGAATCGCTAAGCAACCATCGGCTGGGAAGGGTGTGTGCACAAACCCTGTATTGGGGTTTACAGATCATCGTTGTTGGGTTTATGCACCTCGTTCAGGGTTGGAGAAGGCAAATCGGGTCCTGGAATACTGTGTCCGTGTTTGGTCACCATGATATCAAAAAAGATGTCGAGACTCTAGAAAGAGTGCAGAGAAGAGCAACAAAAGTGGTTTGTGCAGCCAACACTGGCCAAGACATTGGCTCCTTTTAATTGGATCCTGTTCATTAAAATTATTTATTCTTAGGAGGATTTCTCTGTCACGGATTTGAGAGCGTCCCCTTATTGTCATATTAAGAAGGGAAACTTGGTGAAAACTTTTCAAGGACCTCAAGCACTAACAGAGTCTGCCCAGATAATGAGATGGGTGGCGTATCAATTGAAAGGAAGGAAGGAAGGAAGGAAGGAAGGAAGGAAGGAAGGAAGGAAGGAAGGAAGGAAGGAAGAAAGAAAGAAAGAGAAAGAAAGAAAAAGAAAGAAAGAAAGAAAGAAAGAAAGAAAGAAAGAAAGAAAGAAAGAAAGAAAGAAAGAAAGAAAGAAAATAGAATAACATAAAATAAAACCCCAAGCAGCACATCCTTGGTTTGCAAACAGGATGACTTCAATCAAAGCATGAAAACCGGATCTGGAGAAACTTCGTGACAGTGAGAACAATTAACCAGTGGAACAACCTGCCTCCAGAAGCTGTAAATGCTCCAACACTGGACGTATTTAAGCAGAGACTGGACAGTCATTTGTCTGAAATGGTATAGGGTTTTCTGCCTGAGCAGGGGGTTGGACTAGATGACCTCCAAGGTCCCTTCTGACTTCTTCTTCTCCTCCTCCTCCTCCTCCTCCTCATCATCATCATCATTTTGCACACCGACTCTGCATTCAGCCGACGTGGGCTCTGCACGATTCAGGACCTTCCTTGAAATTTATCTTAGCTAGGTTTCCTTCATGTCTGCGTCGTCATTTGGTTTGACATTTGCATAATTTCTGTTGCTGGATGTCCAGGTTTTGCCATGACTGTGCAGTGACTTCAGGTACATTCAGCTTGCCAATTCTGCAAGCGGGAAGACTTTGCTTGCAAGTTCCGCCTGTTTCCTGTTTGCATTTTGATAACTAGAGGTCAAGGGGAGAAAATATGGGGGGGGGAGATTGGGACTATTGACGTCACCATTATGCCATGATGGCGAAGTCAGTGGCAGCTTTTAAGGACTTTCCTGCTTGCTTTATGTGTTGATTTATTTTATATGTAGAAGTATGGGTATATTTGTGTGTGTGTGTGTGTGTGTGTGTGTGTGTGTGTGTGTGTGTCTGCATGCGCTAATTTTTTTGGGAGATTGCTAACAAAGGCTTAAAGGGGGACTGTGTTTGTGTGTGTGTGTAGATTAGAATAGAATAGAATAGAATAGAATAGAATAGAATAGAATAGAATAGAATAGAATAGAATAGAATAATGGAATGGAGCTGGAAGGGACCTTGGAGGTCTTCTAGTCCAGCCCCCTGCTCAAGCAGAAGAACCTGTCCTGTACCATCTCAGACAAGTGACTGTCCAGTCTCTTCTTAAAAATCTCCAGTGATGGAGCACCCACGATTTCTGGTGGCAAGCTGTTCCACTGGTTGATTGTCCTCATTGTCAGGAAGTTTCTCCTTAATTCCAGGTTGCTTCTCTCCTTGATAAGTTTCCAACCATTGTTTCTCGTCCTTCCCTCTGATGCTTTGGTGAACAACCTGACCCCTTCTGCCTCAGATACTGAAATGCTGCTATCATGTCTCCTCTATTTCTTTTTTCTTTAGGCTAGCCAGACCCAAGTCCCACAGCCCTTCTTTGTATGTTTTAGCCTCCAGGCCTCTGATGACCTTAGTTCCTCTTCTCTGAATTTGTGTGTGTGTGTGTGTGTGTGTGTGTGTGTGTGTGTGTGTTCTCGACTCATGACCACAATGAAGCCCAAAATTTCTGTCGCTAAGTGTGTCATTGGTTAAGTGAGTTTTGTCCCATTGTACGGCCTTTCTTGGACACTGGTGAAGTGAATCCCTGCAGTTGTTAAGTTAGTCACAACGTTGTTAAGTGAATTTGGCTTCCCCCGTTGACTTTGCTTGTCAGAAGGTCGCAAAAGGGGATCGCTTGACACACACACACCCCGGACACTGCAACCGTCATAAATATGAATCATTTTGCCAAGCGTCTGAATTTTGATCCCATAATCTCAGGGACAGGATAATGGTCGTAAATGTGAAACAGTGGTCATAAGTGACTTTTCTCAGCGCCCTTTTAACTTTGACCGGTCACTAAGCAGGCACCTGTCCCCATTCAGTCATACTAATGGCATTTGCAGCCTTGCATTTGCAGCCTTGCAACAGCCAGCAAAAGGGTTTTCCATGAAGAGAAAGAGGTTCCCACCCCCAACCTGGAAAAAGTCACCCAGCCCAGCACTGGACAAAGAAGTGATCCAGTTTAAAGAGAGGATCAGGGCAGGAAACGGATTAAGAGGAAGAAGAGGGATTAGAGACGAGATCAGTGGGAAATTCAGCTTAAGAGTTGCAGGTCGTTGTAATCGTCGGCAAACGTTCACAAAACAGTAGCTGGGTGTGGTGAGCTGAGTAATATTCCAAATTCTTTGCCTGTTGTTGAGTTTTGAATTTCACATAGCAACGTGAAACTAAATAGACATTTCTCGTTATTGGAGTGAGTGCACGTGCCTTGGTCCGCCACACCCACCCCTCACAAAATCAACACAACAGCCAGAGAACGTATTTCTCAGTTGGAAGCCAGCAAGCAGGTGCCCAGCAAGCCACAAATTGGGGGGGGGGCAGCCTGCTGCATGCACTTAAGCAAAGGTGGCTTGATCAGCCATGAACTTTGGCCACTTTTAAGTCATGGGGGACAGGGAATTCTGGGAGTTGAAGTCCACAGGCTTAAAAGTTGCCAAGATTGGGAAATACTGCAATGGTTGATCCCCCCCAAAAAAAAGCCCATCTGAAGGGGTGGTAGGACAGGAACCCCTAACTCAGCCAGAACACTCAGCCAGAAAAGGGTGCCAGAGGCACATTGGCGTGGGGGGGGGGCAGTGTCAAACTGGAGGAGTCTGATTAACCAGGATTCTTCTCCTGTGCACGATGCAAAATCAGCCAATGATGATGCAAAGGGCACCTCAGTCGGTGGGCACTGACCCAGGTGCCAAAAACTCACTGGCAGAAGTGCCCAACTGGAGGACTCTGGTGAAATCAAGATTCCCCTCCCAGTACGCGATGCCAACTCAACCAATGCTGGTTAATTCCCCAGTTCGTGATGATGCAAGGGGGGGTCTCAACTGGAGGGCACCGGAAATGGGTGCCAAAGGCTCATTGGCAGGGCAGAGGTGCCCAGGTAAACCAGGATTCCTCAGCCGGTGGACACTGCAAAGTCAGCCAATGCTGGTTTGGGCATCAGACCACGATGATGCCCAGGGCAGCTCAGCTGCCTGCAGGAGCTGGGGCCAGAAGCTCGTGCGCCCGCCTGGTTGGCAGGCCGGGGACAGCCCCAGGCTGGATGCATCCTGCCAGGCATGTCACGGGCTCCCCGCCCTGCAGAGGAACAACAAGGCGGCTGGAATTTCCTCTAAGGTCACCTGGGCAAAAGTCTCGGGACCTGGGCGGGAGGCGGGGCACGGCCGGGACCCCGCCCCTTGAGAGAGATGAGCCAATGGGGGGGAAAGCTGGGCGGGGCGAAGGCTTTTAGCCGTGCGGGGTTCCTTTCGTGGGCTCAGATCCCGCTGGTGGGTTGCGCGCACCTGTCGCCGGGAGCGCCTGGACATGCCTCGCGGCTGCGCTCCGGGGCGCTTGGATACCTGCAGCCGTCTCACCTGCCTGCCGGGTCGGATCTGAGCCACGACGCAACCATGTCCCTGCCCAAAGGTAAGGGGGCAATGTGAATGTGCCGATAGGTAGGTAGATAGGTAGGTAGGTAGGTAGGTAGGTAGATAGATAGATAGATAGATAGATAGATAGATAGATAGATAGATAGATAGATAGGTAGATAGGTAGATAGGTAGATATAATAGATATTAAGATGGATAGAAGATAGACAGATAGATAATAGATAGATGATAGACAGGTAGATATAATAGAGAGATATTAAGATGGATAGAAGATAGATAGATAGATAGATAGATAGATAGACAGACAGATAATAGATGATAGACAGGTAGATATAATAGACAGATATTAAGATGGATAGACAGATAGATAGATAGATAATAGACAGATAGGTGATAGACAGGTAGATAGATAGTAAGATGGATAAAAGATAGATAATACAGAGATAGATGATAGACATAGAAAGATAATAGACAGACAGATAGATGATAGACAGATATAATAGATAGATAGATATTTGGATGGATGGATGGATAGATAGATAGCATCCCTCTGGACTCTAAACCCATCGCGAGCGAAGACAAAACAACCAGGAGACCTGGATCCCGGCTCGTTTGGAGGCGCGCATTTGGGGGAGGCGTCCGACGGCCGTGTGAAGCGTGCAGCGCAGCCTTGCAAAGGGCTGCCTCGGGGAGGTCCGAGGGTTCGGGCACGGGGTTGGAAGGAAAGCGCCTGGCTGCCAGGCAAAACGCGCGTGCTTGGCTGGCCTCTTTGCAGGGTTAGAGAGGGGGGGGGCGCCTCCGGGGCTGCCCTTTCCTCTTCGTTCGAGCGTGAAGCCGCTTTCTGGGGGGCGCCTCCCGTGTTGCACGCCGGGCTGACCGAACCGGAGGCTGAGTTTCTTCCCCTGCGAGTTCGGTTCAGCAGGTTGCCGGAGCGCTCCGCATCGGTGCGTGATGCTCTTACGTCACCCGCCTGGCGTGGCTGGCTTGTGAGAGTTACCTCGGATGACCCGGCGGTTGGTCATTGTTGGGATTTGGGGTTGTTATTACCCACACGTTGTCGGGGCCCTTGACGAAAAAAAACCAAAACGAAACAGGTTGCCTGTCGTCATTGGAAAGAATAAAAATCCTGCAGAATGAAATTCATTTTTTAATTTTTTTTATTTATTCCTTTTTCACTATACAACAAAAATAAAAATAAAAGTACATTTTTTTCCTTAACAGTACTGTGTTACACATCTCATATATATTATTTACAATTATTTACATTAGTAATCCTATCTTTTTGTTTCTCTGTTCTAGCCAATCATAACATTTGTTCCACATGTCGTAGAATTCTGTTGTCTCCTTGTCTTTTAGTTCTAGCGTAAGTTTGTTCATTTCCGTGCATTCTAGTATTTTATATATAATCATATCATTTGTAGGTATGTTTTCACCTTTCCAATACTGGGCATATACTATATATTCATCTTTTGTGGGTGTGCGTGGGATGCTACATTCCATTTCCTGGTTGGATCCCAGGTTGTGTTGTCTACCTGGAGTTTTTTCCCAACTGGGTGGCTGTGGGAGTTCCAGGTGCTGCATACCTGGTTGGAAGAAAGCTACTCCCGCCACTGTCCTGATCAATCCAGTCCACATAAATGGGTGCCATAATATCCTTTGGCAAGGCTGGAGATATCAGACAGGTTGGCTTGACATCCACTGCAAAGGGTTTGTCCCTTTGAGGGAGAATCCCTGACATTTTTAGAGAACTTCTGGAATAGTGGTCCTGGGGATTAGCTGTGATCAAGCCAAGGTCTTTTTCTTTCTTTTTAAAAAATATTTTATTGATTTTTCTATTCTTACAATTCATTAGTGCTTAATGAACAACATCTGGTCTGGGTTGATTTGTTTTGCTTAGTAATGCAAGTTAAGTTCTTGCTCTCTGTCCTGTTTTTCCAGCCATTGATAAAATAAGTTCTATATTTGAAAATATTCTCTGTTTTCTTTTTCTTTGATTCTCAATGTATGTCTAGCCATTTCAGTACAGTCCAGTGTTCAATTAAATTGCTAGGTGTGGCCCACAATTGCAGAGGTCTTCAAACTTGGCCCTTTTATGAGTTGTGGACTTCAACTCTCAGAATTCCTCTGGCTGAGGAATTGTGGGAGTTGAAGTCCACAGGTCATAAAAGGGCCAAGTTTGAAGACTCCTGCACAATTGGAAGGAGAATTAATTTTGGCTTTGAACAACTGAGAAATTTATTAGGGTTTAATCCACTGCCCAGATTCCTCCTCGCAAATTTGTGCACTGATGTCAAAGAGGCGATGTAGGGAGATTATTATTATTTTTTGCACGGTTGCCTTTCTTTTTGCTAAGTCTTTCTCTCGGCAGCAAGGTGGAGATGACACCAAGCTGCAAATTTATCTTTCTGCTGTTATCATGGGCTATAGGGAAGTGCATCCCTAAAGCATCTCTGAGTAGGACAGGTTTTAGCATGAGTCAGGTGTCAGCTTTGGCAGGGATGGGTGGGGGGGGGTTATCCTTGCCCAGGTAACTGCTGCAAACAAGGATGAGCAAAGTAAAAGCTGGCCAAAGTTACCCTCTTAAAGTGCAAGCTTGCTTCTCCACTTTCTTGGAAATGGGATGGGGGTACAGGAGTCAATGACCTCTGAGCCTCCGAAAAATGGTGCAACAGCATAAAGAAGAGGGAAGCATTGGACATCGGTGCAAAATTAATCCCGAAGTAGACAGAACTGAGCTGTGGGGGGTCCTTCATGGTCTCTGAGCTTGCAGACGTTTCATTACCAACCTAGGTAACGTCATCAGTACTGGAAGGGAGGGGGGGTTCACAGTGGAGGAGAAGGAAAAAGGAAGAAGAGGGCGAGGAAGATTGTGGGATTCTCAGTGCTCTCTGGACTTGGTTGTTTTCTTGCAGATGTTTCATTACCAAGCTAGGTAAAGTAATCAGTGCTAGAAGGGAGTGGTGTTTGCTCCTATTTTTATATATAGCAGAAATGGTTTTATATACTAAAGAGTTGAGCTGAACGTATTGATCAGCTTCAGAGCAATCTCACGGATTTTCAACATTTTGGATGAAATTGGAGAAGGTTTTTTTTTTAAAAAAAAAATAAATAAACTGGGTGGTGGCAAAATTCTATCAGAGCAGTTCAGGTGCAAGACTCAACAAGGAGCTGACACCTATCCTTGTTGTCTTGGGTGATGAATATCAACATGATGTTGTTTTCAAAAAAAAAAAAAAGTCTGGCAGAGACAAAATCTGCTTCCCTCTGAAGTTCCTAGATCTCTTTCCTTGGCTAGGTTTACAGTCATTATTAATCTTGCAGCTCCCAAGATTTCTCAGCTGCTAAGGCAATTTCTTAGTGAAGGAGGAAGACAATGGAAGGATAAGAAAAATGGTAGGAGGAGACAGTACAGTAGCCAGAATTGGGAAGAGGCTGGTAACGTCTTTTTCAACCCGTACAATTTATTAAAAGGCAGAAGCCTAAAGCTGATTTTAGGTTGCAGAAAGGATCCATGAGCAAAAGGAAAGATGGGAAATTTTGGAGGGGGAGAATAGATTTTGTTTCTGAATACTTTACCTCTGTAAAGTAGAGACAGCGAATCTATAATGTTTTTCTCAAGATGTTGAGCCCAGGCTAGGTTTTTAATGATGGGATTTTAATCTAGCAATGACAGGAAGGCCATAGGGGGTTAGACTGGATTTCAGAAACAGAGGAATGCAGAGAAGTGTCAGTCATTCTGTAGGCCAGTAGGCTAGCTGGGATATTCTTTATTCTGGGAGTGGAAGTCCGTCCATCTTAAAATGATGGTTACTGTGGAATTCTTAAAGCTTGGAGAAATACAACTGGGGCACCCCACAACAATTGGAGGCAGGATGTGTTCGAGGTCATGGATTTGGATTTTTGTACTCTGTCCCTGTGTCCTGCAAATTGGGCGACTGCAAACAGACCCACAACCTCTCTTGAAATGGGATGCAACGTTCTCTGGAGTGACAGTGTAATGGATGAGAAGGTTGATAACTACTCTAAAGAGAAGATCCAGCTTTGTGTTTGTAGCTGCTGAAAACAATCTCTCTCTCTCTCTCTCTCTCTCTCTCACACACACACACACACACACACACACACACACGCTTGCATGCACACCAACCCATGCACAGGGGAATGTCCTTTGGGATTACAGTTGGAAAAATATGTTGTGATTCATTAAGACCTTCCCATCAAAGGCTGGGGAATCCTTCCAGGTTAATGACTAGAGAACTCCGAAGTGAACATTGTTAGCATAGTTATGTATAATAGAGTAATTGCTATTTACGTAACTGACTTTGTAATAGGGCATGCTTCAGTTTTCTCTGTCCAGGTTGCTTGAGGGCTGCTAAGGAGGACCAGTGCTGGGTCATCTGGGGTGACAGTGACTATATAGCCAGGACTCAACTTACCTCAGTTCATGTAGGGACCATTCAAAGTTACAATGGCACGGAAAAAAAAGTGAATTGGGACACTTACGACCGTCGCAGCCTCCCCGCAGTTATGTGATCAAAATTCAGTCGCTTGGCAACTGGCTCATCTTTATGACAGTGGCAGCGTCCGGGGGCTCACCTGATCTCTTTTTTATGACCTCCTGACTGGCAAAGTCAATGGAGAAGCAAAATTCACTTAAAAACTGTCTTATTAACTTAACCATTATAGCGATTCACTTCAGAATGGTGGCAGAACAGCTTGTAAAATGGGGCAACGCTCATTGAACAAACAAAGTCAGGATGCGACGTACTTTTTTTTTTTTTTACAGCCTTCTTGAATTTGTTGCGTGTTGACGGGGATTGTGGGAAGCATAAGCTGATTGAACTGCTTTTGATTCGGTTTTGCAAAGCAAACAAGCCTTTATGTGATATTTTGTATTCAACTTTCATCTATCTATCTGTCTTCTGTCTATCTATACACACACACACACACACACACACACACACACACACATATATAAATAAATACACACACATATACGACGTCGAAACGTCGCCAAGACACTTCCAATTTTACGCGGGA